GTTTGCTGAAGATCTTTGCTGTCAGATGAGGGGGTTGCAGTGTCCCTGTGTGGCTTCCAGGGTGCAGGAAGTGTGTGACAGCTCCTTGTATGGACTTGTTCGGGAAGTTCTCTGGGAAACTGAGAATTGCTGCTGCTGGAGGTGCTCCTGGAGAGTTCCCAGTAACAGAGGTGGCGAGAGGCTTTTCCTGTTGATTCAGAAAGGCCATTGTTCTGCTCCTGGAGGTGAACTGGCTGTCAGCCCTGGGCTGGGGCAGGGCAGTGGAGCACAAGGCTTGTCCTGAGGAGTGTGAGCACGTCCAGCTGTGCCCCTCCCACCTCACACACAGGGCCGAGCTGATCCTGATGTGTACGTTCCCACACCGGGCTGCAGGGGACATTAAAGGTCTGATTTCATGGGGGTCACTTAACTTGAGAATTGTTGGAGAATTGGCTCTTTGTTGGAGAGAAGAGTGAGCTCAAGGAAGGTTGATATCAGAAAATCCTGCCTGTGCAGCTCCTCTGGTTGCCTCAGTGACTTGCTCTGCACTGAATGAGTGTGTGAAATCTGTTCTGAGCAGTTTGTCCCTGTCTGAGTCTGAGGTGTCAGTTTGGGGGCCCAGTTCTTTCCGAGGTAGATGTCACCTGTGCAGCCCATAAATCCAGCACAGTGTCAGTGGGGGATGTCCCTTTTGCCCCCAGTGCCATGGATGTGTGCCAGCCCTGCTCCTGCTCTTCCTGGGAGCGCTGGGCCTCTGTGCTGGCAGCTTAAATCAGTGCAGAATTGTTGCCTCAGGGGGACAGCTTTCAAGCCTGGCTTGTCAGGGACCCTGTTGAGCTCCTCAGTGCCATCACAGGCACTCAGCTGTGTGAGGATTCCAGAAATGACATCAGCATGTGCACTAAGCAGCAGCTCATCAACATTCCCAACAAAGGCTACTCACTGATGACAAATCCCTGATGGAAACCCCTCAAAAGAACGGGGACCTTTGCTTTGTTTTGCCAGGGCTGCTCATGAGCTGGGCTCTTCCTGCTGTGCTGTGCAGGAGGGAGGTGCAGACACCCTGTCTGTGGCAACATGGGCTCCTCTGGGACCTTCTGACAGGGCATGGAACATGGAAACAGGCTGTGGGCACAGCTCCCTGCTCTGGAACCTTCTGACAGGGCATGGAACATGGGAATGGGCTGTGGGCACAGCTCCCTGCTCTGGGGCCCTGCTGCTGGCACTGCTGGTGTGTTTGTTGCCAGCACACTTTTTCTCTGTGAGAAGGCAGAAGATGGGATGTTGTCATGCCAGGGTTGAAACACTTCCAGGCTTTTTGTAAAACTGACCTTTAGCAAGCTTTTTTTTTTTTTTTTTTAAACTTCAGTGGTTTTCAAACTCAAATTTGCAAGTGAGTTCCCCACGTTCTATTTCTGGTGTGCTTTATTTCCTTTCTGGGGGTGAAGTGCTACACATGCTCTACTCTTTCTCCTTGCAGCTGAATTAAGGGCTGCTGTAGCTGCTCTGAGTTTCTGTGCAGCATCACTGGCCACTGCCAAACCCCAGGGACTGGGCAGGGCTCTCAGTGCAGGTGCTGGGAAGGCACAGGTGACACAGGAAGGCTCTCTTGAGTTCACAGTCTCTTTGTTTGGAGCCCACATTTCTTACACAGCACATTCTGTAAAGGATTTATGTGCTGCTTAAGGGGCTGAGTGTCCCCCTTTGGGCCTGAATCGACCTTTTCTGAAGATTTCAAACTGTGTGGATGGTAGACAAGGGGTTGTACTCCATGGGTGTGCTGAAAGAGAAGAAAATTGCCCCTGCAGTCCTGTCAGGGAGAGGAATCTGGAGTGGTTCCCTTTAATCTGTGGATACATGAGCAAACCCGTGACTCCCATCCACAGTTCTAAGGACCTTCAGAAGAAAAGGATGCTCACACAGTTCCTGGTTTCTAGCAAAGGAATTTGTGAATTCTGTCCATTTAATAACTCTCATCTCAAGGGAAGCAGAACAGTTGTTCAAGTAATTTCTTTTACAAAAAAACCCACATTTTATTTTCCGAATCGAGAAAGCGCCGCAGTCGAACCTGCAGCGAAAGCTTCTTTGCATTCCTGCTGTAATTCCAGAGCCCCACCTGGTCCCCCCCAGGTGTGACTCCCCCCTGGCACTTTGCTGGTGTGCTCCCAGTGATCAGCTCTGTCTCCCCCTGCAGAGATCTACCGCATCGTCTCCCAGAAGCAGATGTCGGACAGGCGTGACAATGACATGTCTCCGAGCAACAACGTGGTTCCCATCCACGTCCCCCCGACCACGGAAAACAAACCAAAGATGCAGTGCTGTCAGAATATATAAATTGCCCCGTTCTTTCCTTAAAAAGGCTGTGTATATTCCCCAGGTCCAAGATTGAAATATATTTGTAATTCTCGTGGTTCCATTCTTGTGTTTAGTCACTGCTTATTCCTCCTGAATTTCTCCATGTCTCAGAACACTTTGATTTCAGTGTTTATCGCTCCCTCACTTGGATGTGGCTGCAGTGTTTCCCCAAGGCCGACTCGTCGGTTTGGGGTCGGTAAATTGTTTGGAACTCAAGTGATCCCTTCCCAACACGATGCCTGTTAGTCAGAGCACAGAAACCTTTAGTGAGCACTTGGAGATGTTACTCTGCTCCTCACGGAGCAATTCCTGTCAGGTTAACGAGGAAAATATCCCTGGGCAGGGTAATCTTTCCTTGTCTGAAGGTGTTGCATCCTGCACCCCAAGCCTGGCCAAGCGCCCGCTGCTCTGAAGTGCAATTTTAATGTAAGTTCAATGTTTTTGGCTGCTTCTTCAGATTGTCCAGTGGAGCTTTGTAGAGTATTATGGGAGAGAGGAGAGAATTTCTCGAGAACAAGCAGCAGGTTCTGGCAACCTGTGACTGAGGTGCTGTGGTTTGGCACCTGCTGCAGAGGAGGTTGATGTGAGGCAGAGCTGCTGGGGCCTCTGGAGAAGGAGCTGCGTCCCTGGGGAAGGGTCACTCCAACCCTGGAGCTTGCAGCCTGTTTTTGTGCTGCCTCAGGCTCAGCTGGTGGTATCAGGATTTGAGGATGCCTTTTTTTCTTTCATGGGACACAGACTCGAAGGGGGTTGTCACGTGTTACATATCACACCTATCAGTGCATGCCACTTGTATGAATATATTCGAATGCTTGAGTTGATGAATCAACAACTTCAACTACCTGGCCTTAGTTTTCAGTTCCGTTTGAGCCAGCATTTTTAAATTACTCTGATGGTTTGGTGTCTGCTCTTGAACAAAACCATCTGGGGGTAGTTTTCCTGCTGGCCGTGTTCCTGCTGTCGCTCCGTGCAGATCCTCAGCTGGATTCGCCTGTTCAGGGATACATGAACTGTGCCTTCTGTCACTGCACATCGCTCTGTGCTATTCCTAAACATGCCAACCCTGCTGCTGGGGCCACGGGCACTGCATTCCCACAGGATTTAAAGGAACTGTTTGTTGTGTAAATGCCTGCAGATATTTATGCAATTACAGGGAAGTCATGGATTGTAGGGGATGTTTCTCAAACCCTGATATGACCCACGTGGAACATCCAAAATCCGGTTGGCACTCCCAGCTGTGTTCCATCCCAACCCTTCTGTCTCGCGGTGCTCATGACGTGTGAGGCACACGGAAGGCATTGCTGTAGTCGGTCACTTCTTGTTTTTCACTCCATTTCTCCTCCTGGTATTAGTTCTGGAGATGCTCCTTTGGTCTGTTTGTAAATTACTTTGTATTTTATGCATGTACTGTACTTTGATTTGTTATTTTTTTAGATTGATTTAAAATATATTCATCCATGATTCTAATAAAGAATTCCAGGGGACGACTCAGCGTGGTGTCGGGTGCGCTTTTTGGGAGGACTGGGATTTGACGTGGAGGTTTTTACTTGCTGGAAGATGATGAGCTCCTTGGAGCAGGCAGTGAGAAGACACTGAAGTGGAAGTGCCCCTGGAAAAGGACCTGGAAGGGTCATGTAACTCTCTCTCCTCAGAGCAGGTCTGCAGCTTTTCTCTTCCCTGCTAACGGGAGACAACTGATGGCAGCAGACACTACTTTGGGCCCTGAAAGGTCTGGGAACTCCATTTAAGGCTGCAAAATGGGCTTTCTTGCCAAAAGTTTTGCCTGTCATTTACATATTTGAAAGCCCCAGCTTTATCAGTTGTGAAGCTGTTCAGGAGCATCAGTGGCTCCTGTGTTTGATGGGAGTTGAGGTTCTGACTCTTAAGCAGAAAGGACATGGAACTGTTGTGATTCAAAGACATTTTTATTAAGCTGGAATTACTCACTCCATCAGTTCGAACCTGATGAATTTCCAGCCTTAAATAGCTTATTGAGTGTGTCTTGTCAAATAAGAAGATTACACACTGGGCTTTAGTTAACAAGATTTCCAGAAGCACAAACGCTGAGAGGCTGCAGCAGTGGCGGTGCTGCCTTGCCTGGCAGTCGTTCCCCCTGGAGGGGTTTCTGCTGCACATCTGTGCTCCTGATGGGCTGGCTGGGCTCCCTGGGAGCTGCTGAGGCAGCTTCCACGTGTCCTGTGTGCCATTCCTGCTGGGTGACGGTGCTGGGCTGGATCCTCCAGGATTTTCACCCCCTGGGAAGGGCCGGGCACTGCGAGCGGCCCCGGGCACCGAGCACGGCGCTGAGGTGCAGGGGGGAAGGGCAGTGAGGGGGTGGTGGCTCTGGCCCCACATTGCTCTGGTGGGTGTTGGAGGGGCTTGTCCAGCTGGGACTGTGCATCCCTGGGCTCTCACTCTGAGGACAAAGTGCTGAGGAACGGGGAGAAGGGTGTACAGAGCCACTTACCTTTTGGGTTAACCCTGGGCCTTCAGGTTCATCTGGAACTACAGCCCTGCCTTTCCTGTCCTGTGCCTGCTGCCCGTGGGGGTTTTTGGCTGAGTGGAGGGGCAGCCCCTTCGTGAGCAGCCACCTCACCTGGAGAACTCGGACCTGAGCAGGGGCTGGAGTTTTGCTCTGCAAATGAGTGAGTTTGAGAACTGCACGGTGAGAGAAATTCAATTTATTTTGTACAAGGTAGGATACCTTTGCACAGTGAACAAATATATTACAAATCTGTCTCGCCTTAAAAAAGTATTGCCATTTTGGTGCCTGTTTCCTAAGCTAATGCTAATATACAAGAAGGTACCTTTTTTTTGTTTGTTTTAATTGTTGTTTTTTTTTTTCCTGTTAAGCTCTATGCACATCATTGCATTTGGTTTCAAAATCCTGCTTTGAAAAAAAAAAAAAAAACAAACCAGAACACAATAACTGAGCACATCTCTGCTCTCTGGAGTCTCATTGCAAACTACAGCAACACAAACACGGGTCAGGCTGGCAGCTGGGGCTGCTTGTGCTGGGTGTCAGGGTAGGGCTAAACAAGAATATTCCTTATCCAACCGCCTTTCTCCTGATATTTTTGAGGTAAGTCTTTCCATTCAGGTACATCAAATACATCCCTGCTGGCCCTACAAATTAACTGTTTCCTTACATCTCGAATAAGGCTTTCCTGGAAAACAAAACTGCTGTTGCTGCTGGCTCAGGGCCCCCATGCACACATGCAGCGTTCAGGAGTCGGGTGGGAATCATCCCGGGGCACGGACAGCGGCTGCTCCGGGAGCTGGAGGGGTCTCTGGGCTCGGGTTGGGGGGTTCAGAGCCAGCCTGACCACCTGGGGGGTCCTGACTCCAAAGACAGGGCTCCTAGGGGCAGGATTCCCAAGGACAGGCTCCCAGAGCAGGATTCCCAAGGACAGGCTCTCAGGGCAGGATTCCCAAGGACAGGGCTCTCAGGGCAGGATTCCTAAGGACAGGATTCCCAAGGATAGGGTTCCCAGGGTCAGGATTCCCAAGGACAGGCCTCCCAGGGCAGGATTCCTAAGGACAGGATTCCCAAGGATAGGGTTCCCAGGGCAGGATTCTCAAGGATAGGGTTCCCAGGGCAGGATTCTCAAGGATAGGGTTCCCAGGGTCAGGATTCCCAAGGACAGGCCTCCCAGGGGCAGGATTCCCAAGGACAGGATTCCCAAGGACAGGGCTCCCAGGGCAGGATTCCTAAGGACAGGATTCTCAAGGATAGGGTTCCCAGGGCAGGATGGTCAGGGCTCCCAGGAGTGCCCTGCCAGGGGTTCAGTCCCAGGCTGAGCCCGTCTGTGGGCACAGGGCAGGCCCCACCACGGTGCTCCAGGTGATCCCAGGGTGACTCGGAGCCGGGATCCAGCCACTCTCTCCCAGCTGGAGGGCTCCTCTTTCCAGTGCCAAGCCCAGCAGGTCACCCAAGGGATCAGACTGGTGGGGCTGGTTCCGTTCTCTTCTGCGTCCACCAGGCTGGTGAATGTGCAACAGGATATTTCTTTATATTTAAGAGGCATCAACTTGCTACTTCCACGTTTGCCTAATAAAATTACATTACTTAGAGTCAATACTACTTCATGCTCAAAATCTACAAGGAACTAACGGCAAGTACTCTACTCTCTAGGTCAATAAAGATTATAAATAATAATAATAATAAAAAAAAATACCATGGTGGCTCAGTCCAAAACTTTACCATGGGTCAGCCCTGTGATAAGAAGTTCACAAACAGCTGCTGAAAAAGAAAACCCAGTTTCAGCTCCGTTTAATGACATCTCAGGTGGAATCACCAAAGGATAACGTTGCACTACATGGTAATGCACATTGAATTCAGGGGTGTCATCGGTGGCATGCTGACAAGTGAACCATGAGGAGATGGTTTGGAAGGATGGGAGAGAGAAGCTGTTGTGGCTCTGAAAGCTTTGGGAGAGGAAATGAAACCAGGGCTGGTCTGTGCAGACCTGCAGAGTCCCGGGACAGGAAAGGGGGGTGCAGCAGTTTACAGGCCCGACAGATCTGCTGGATTCAGCCAACAAAAGAGAAGCTGTGAAAAGGAAAACTAAAGCCCATCTGTGCCAATTGAAAGTGTGGAAAGGTGGGTGGGAGGCTCACTGTGGACAGGGTCGTTAGCAAAGATCAGGGGACATTGGGAAGGATTTAAAAAATGGCACAGGAAGTGTCTGTGTGAATATTCCTCAACTCAAACCCTCTGGTGCTGAATGTGAAGATGAAAATCCCAATGCTAACTATCGAGCATGATCTGCACAGGTTGCAGGTGGCGGTGGCAGCAAATGAGGCGTCCTGACAGCGAACTGACAATTTCCCTGCTCTCCTTCAGAAAAACGTCCATTCCCATGACAAGGATGAAAAATCAATTCCAGTGCATTCCCAGTCACCTTGTTCCTAAGGGCAAAAGGTTTCTCGATGCAGTAGGTAAAAATGTACATCTTTTAGTCCTTCTACTTAGCATGTGTTTGTGGTTTATTTTACAGCAAAGCCAGGGTTAGGATACAAGCCACGGAGAGTTTTTGCCTGGAGCACGTGGACCCCTTCCTGGGGGGGGGGATGTACTCCAGCCACACGTGGAGGAGGTTCTGTTAGTTCCAGTTACCCATAGAAAAGTGTCTTTATAAATAACATCATGCAGCTGCAGTTGGCCCAAGCCGATGCTGTGTCAGGTCCGTGCGTGAGCCAGTCCACATCCGTCGGCATCCTGCAGTGTGGAAAAGGAACGGCTCCTCCTCTGCTTCCCCACGGCTGGCGTGGGCAGCACAGGGCCCAGTGGAGTCCATCCCTTCAGGGCTGCTTGTCCCACGAGGGCCCGTGTGTGGGGCTGTGCCGCACGGGGAGGAGGTCGTAGTGCCCAGGGATGTGGCTGTTCCTGGGGAGGTCGTACGGGTTCTGCAGGTAACTGGCGCTCCGGCTGCGGCCGTCTTGGACTATGCTGACAGTGGGCTCTGAAAGGGAAACTGGGTTATGGCAACCAGCAGCGCTCCCCAAACCAGTGACTGTCCTCGTGTGTTTTGCCCAAGCACAGGACCTCGGCCTCCCAAACCCCCTCACCTGCTCCAGCGGCACAGGAGGCAGCACGGGGGGCACAGCAGGGAGCAAAGCACCAAACAGGATGCAGGGAACGGCTGGAGCTGTGTCAGGAGAGGGTCAGGCTGGATCCCAGGTAAAGGTCCTTCCCCCAGAGGTTGGTTGGCACTGGACAGGCTCCCCAGGGCAGTGGGCACAGCCCCAAGAGCTCCAGGAGGGTTTGGACAACGCTCTGAGGGACAGGGTGGGATTGTTGAGGTGTCCTGTGCAGGGCCAGGGGTTGGACTTGATGATCCCTATGAGTCCCCTTTTCAGCTCAGGATACCACAGCTCTTAGCTCCCCAAATCAACACCCCAGTGCTCAGGCCTTCCCCCCCACTGCCAGTGCCTCCCTGCCCTGTGCCAAGTCCAGGCTCCTTGTGCCAGGAAAAGCAGCCTCTACACTGAACCCCCCCCAGCTGCTGGAGCAGCCCCTGTGCCACCCACTGCTCACCAACTTCGTAGATGTTTTTATTGGCTGTGGATGAAGTTGGCATTTCGGAATAGGGGGACTCCCTGTGCCCAGGCGATTTCATTTCCACGTAGCTGCTCTCGGAGTGTTTGCAGGTTAAGATGGGGGGGTCTTTGATGGTGGCGTAGGGGTTTTCACTGCTGTTCAGGGAACAAGTGCTGGAGCTGCACACGGACTCTTTCATATAATCTGCAAAACAAGAGCGGGGTGGGAGCGTCAGGGTCGTTAGCTTAACTCAGGTAATTACAGCTGAGCCTCTGCAGGAAGGCTGGGGGTGACAAGGGGACAGGGGGGAAGGAGGATCCTCGACGCATCCAGCACAGACACCCGGCGCTTGTGCTCTGGGTGTTCCACACCATTGCATCCACAACTCACTGGCAGGAAAGAAATGAAAACCTGCTCAGCACCGAAGGTTTAGCTGTAAAAGGTCCTAGCTGTCATTTACTGCAGTCTCTAATTTGAGGTGGCAATGCCTTCCCTCCCTGCCCTAATTCCTAAGGAGCCGTGTTGTTTAACCCCGCACGGGACCACGAGTGGGCTCTGCAGGCAGGACCCTCTGCTAGGGCTGGGGCTGCTGGGCCAGCTGCAGGGTGAGTGTCCCGGGGCTTTGGGCACATCCAAGGCCCTGTGTTGGAATGCACAGCTTTGCCACAGGCTCAGAACTGCACCGGTGCAGCCTTGGCGTGTGTGGCCCCCTGAGAGCGCCGGCTTCGGGGTTATCCAGCATCCTGCAAGCTGGAACACTTGGGTTTCCACAGGGGGGGGACAATCCTCTGTCTGAGCCTCACTTCTGCTCTGCTTCCCCCCCTCACTGCTGCAAACATCTCCTGCTCCTCTCCCCTGGGCTGGAGAGGAGATGGTGACAGAAGCACTACGTGGGGGGAACGAGCTTGGCGTGAGAGCTGCGAGCACCAGTTGGTGACCCTGGCTGGGCTGTGCCAGCCCTCTGCAAGGTACAGTGCCAGTCTTGCTTCAAAAAAAAAAAAAAAAAACCAAAACAATAGAGAATAAATAAGTCTTAACATTGACAGTCAAGAACGTGCCATTGCTGCCGTGTGCATCCTGCTGGGCAGTGCCAGTAATTTAGAATTAGAGCGATGCAATGAAAGATGAGGCATTTTCTTGTGCTGGGTTACAGTACAAAGGCAGATCCTGGTATATATGAAATACTCCCGGTGAAATAGTGGGACTTGCAAAATAGCTGCAATCCCAGCTGCCCCCGCTGTCTAGTATGGGAGACAAAAAGAGAAATTCAGGTTAAGAAATGACAGACAACACGACATCGCTCCTCCCTTACAAACCTCGTCTCCGAGCCCCATCCTGCTCCCTCACTCGCCGGGTTCGCTCCACTGGGTGTGATTCTCCCTCCACCAGCTCTGGGGTTGTGTCTGTGTGTCCATCACCCCCTGGGCCTGGTGCCCCTGGCCTGGGTTCAGCCCTGAGGGAGGTGCCAGGCCGTGCCCTGCCACCTGCACAAGGGGTTGCCTTCCTGGCCTCCGGTTTCAGGGACACGGCAAGGGGGGAGAGCCCTGAGCTCTGAGGGGCAGTGACAGCAGCTCCCCTGCAAACAAACCAGCAGCAGGGGCTGGACCATGCAGGGTGGGAGGCTGGCAGAGGCCCTGGCACCACTGCAGTGGTAATTTAGTTATAAAACCAAGAACCACCTTGTCTGACTTCAGCCTGGGTGGGATCAGCAGTGCCTTTGCTTCCAAGTGAAACACGCCTGGTGTGGTATCACAGCAGATGGGAACCAAGGAACACCGACATTCCCTGGCTGTTGGACACAGGGTTTGGCCCTCCAGCTTCACCATCCCCCATCCCAGTACAAGTCAGGGGAAAACTGCCCCATCCCATCCTTCTACAGGGCGATGGAGCAACCCTGGGAGAGCAAAGGCTCCTGCACATGAGTGAGCTCAGTGTTGTTGGCCCTTGTTCTCTGTGTGTGACTCAAATTCAGGTGCCAGAGTCTGGGATCTGTTGGTGTGAGAGGTGAGGAGACCATGGACAAAGCCTAACAAATGAATTAATCAATTAATCAAAATCTTTGGAGTGAAAAGACCTATCTGGACTGGGCCCCAGTTTCAGTCACTGGGAGGGTTGTGCATGAGTGAACTCCCTCACTTGGACAAGGAGCCAGAGTGGGAGCACTCACTGCTTCAGGGGCATGGCTGGATGAGGAGAGACTCATTCCTGAGGTTTTTACTCCATTCTCAGCTAAAGAAAGGCTCAGCTCTACCTGACAGCAGGATACAGCTCCTGGTGGTACTGCAGGTCTGTGGTGCTTGTTAGGAGAGCCTGGGCCAGCCTTCAATGAGCCAGCTCTGCATTTTGGGGCAAGACAGGGAGTTTATGACAAACTTCCTTCCCTGTCTCAAGCTGTGCTGCTGAGCAACATTTTCTGGGGTAAAAAAAGCAGGATCCTCCCCCTGCCCTGAGTGTCACTACAAAGCACCACAGCTGGGAGGGAACAAATCAAACCAGAGCTGGGCTTAGAACAATCAAATGTCAATTATAAAGGACTGTTGGCTACTACAGCAAAAAAGGGTTGAGAGAGAAACGCTGCTCCTGCAGAGCTGTGCTGGGTCAGTGCTGCTTGTTTATGGAACTGGGCACATTGGAGCTGGCACAGGAGAAAATCCCAGCACATCAGCTACTTTATTGAGTCCAGCTCAGCTACTTTTACCTTCCTAAGCTCAAATTCACCTGCCCTGCTGCCAGGGCTGACACCCCTCGCCAGGCAGGTGTCCCTCAGCACCAGCCCTGCCCTTGCCAGGCTCTACTGGGAGACACCAAACACCGCTGGGGCTGCCCAGACTCGTTTGGCCTCTCCCAGGAGCTGCCTTTCCCCAGAAGATGTTGGGAAACAAGGTGCCCAGGAGCTGATTCCCTCTGACGTAAAAGGGAGCTCCAGGATCAGCCCTTCGCTCTGGATACAATAAATCTATTTTATGGAGCACCAGCCTTGTTTGGGAATGTGCTGCACACCAGGGAGTCATTAGCCCACCAGAAACCCTCTGTGCTGGATCAGGGAGAATTTAAGGGATGGAGAAGCAGCTGAGTTACTTTGTTATTAAGGTAATTTGGGGGATAATTAAGAAGTCTGGCATCGATTGTCAAGATTTCATTTCATGAATTAATTTAACCAGGACAAGGGTGTTTAGAAATTCTCAGCCCGTGGTGCTGCAGGCCCTGTGGGAGCTCTGCCCACGCTGCCTCCTCATCGCCCCTGTACCCACAGGGAGCTCTGGTGGAGGTGGAAGCTCAGCTCGAGCCATGGCACTGTCACCACAGTGCTGGGACTCACTGGAAGCACTGGATCAGCTGGACTTCCAGAGAAATATGGGGAATATGCTCTAATTTTGCAGCCCCTGCTTTCTGTGTTGCCTGGATACCAATCTCCAGACCTTTCGGAGGGTTTATTTTTGTTAGCAGGGACTAAAAATGTCCCTCCCACAGACTGGGTTCCTCTCTTTCACCCCTGAATTTCCCCTGGCATCCTAATGACAAGCCTTGGAACCTCCTGCCCCGCTGGAAGTGCTGAGGAAGGTGCTGCACACAGGCAGAACGTGCTGTTCCTGCTATTTAACCCCTTTGGGATGCCATGCCTTGCTGGCTGCTATCCCTGTCCTGCCCAGCCCTGGCTGCTGCAGGGACAGGAACACAGCCAGGGCTCAGTGCAGCTCCCCAGAGTGACAGGAGTGGGGACACACCCTGCCCAAACCCCAGATGAACCAGGCTGAATGGGATCAGTGCTTCCAGCTCCAGGGGTTTCCTGGCTGTTGTGCAAAGAGTTTGTTTTCCTTGAGATGTTACTGCCTGGAGGTCACGTCATTCCACCAGTGCATCAGCACTCTTTCAAAAAACTACTTCTAAAAAATAGAAAAGGACTCAGCTGCAAGGAAAAGCTTGGAAATGGTGTCACTGAGCACCATGCAAAGAAACTGCTCAGAAACCTGCTCTGGAAATCTCGTGACTGTCCAGCCCCTGTCAGCAGATGCCACCAGTGTGGCACCCAACCCTCCCTGCCTGAAGGGCTCCTGCTGCTGTCAGAGCCTGGGAGCGACCCTGGCAGACCCAAACCTCTGTGCCTGACCCCCTGCACCCCCTGCCCCTCCCTGGCAGCGTTCCTTGTGCCAGGCTGCACAGGAACAGCCCTGTCCTGGTGCCCTGCTCTGGGCCAGCCCCGAGGGGGACAGGCTCTGGTGTCCTCCCAGACCTGGGGAAGGGGGTGCTGGACCAGGCTCACCACAGCCTGAGCTCAGCCCCAGCCCCTGTGCCCCCTCCCGGGCTCTGAGCTGGTCCAGGGGCACCAAACACCACTTCCAACTGCAGGATAAACTTTCCCCAGTTGGACCCCCCTGGTGGGAGAAGAGTGGATGAAAGCAGATAAAAACTAACCCCCCGCCTGCCGAGTCTTTCTGCTGACAGGACCCAACTGTCTGGGACTGGAAGTTTCTTTCTCTCCGTCTTTCAGAGGAATTTTGGTGAGTCAGGGCTAACTCTGCACCTGGCAGGGCAGGAAGAGCTGCAAGCTGAGCATGGGGCACATTCCCAGCTCCTCGGGGGAGGAATTCCCCCAGGGCTGGGGGTGCCCCAGGCAGCTGAGCAGCACAAAGAACACCCCAGCTGCCCTGACACGGCTTCTGGGCCTGATTTCTCCATTTATAAGGAGATGAACGTGTAAAAGAAATGGCTCAGATCCTAAGTAATAAGCAAAATATGTAGGAACAGAAAATACATTTCACAGTTCCCTGTCCCTGGGATTCTTTTCCCTCTGTTCCCGCTGGTTCCCCTCTGTGTGGCTGTGCCTGTGGATGGGAGCTCCTGCTGCATGTGTTTCAAGCAGCTTTTAAACCTTGTAAACACAGCAATTTACTTTAAATTAATGAAACTGATAGTTCCATGCAAAGAGAACAGCTAGCTATAATGCAGTAAGATTTTCCTTCTCAAAAAGAGAACCACTGAAGTAGCAGTGGATTATTGTGTATAATATATATCATATATGTACATAGCCCTTTTAATATTTTAATTTTAGCTTTATTAAGACAGACTGGGTCATGGATTGTTGCTTTCCTTTGGTGTTTCTGTGCAGCAGGGTGAATTTTTAGCAAATATTGCACCACTGTATTTTGAAAACAGCAGCTACAAAGAGATTATTGATCTCCAGGCCTGCCTACAGGCCGGTCACTGCTCTGTGTGAGGAACAGCTTTTGCTATTCCCTGTTAGTTCAGACAAAGGGGTGGCTCTGGAGCAGCTCAGGGGTGTCTGGCACCCAGGGGTGTGTGAGGGCACCACTGGCCCTGTGACTCAGCCAGCAGCAGCTCCGGGGCACTGCTGTGCTATTTCCCTCCCTGGCTGAGGGAGGGACATTCCCAGGCATGAACAGGCACAACAGCCCTGGATTCACATCAAGGACCTGGGCCTGAAACCTGCCTGTTCCCCACGAGGCAGATTCCTTGCTCCACCTTCTGGAGCACAAGTTCCCCGTGCTGAAGCCCAGCCCAACCTGTCAGGAGCTGGTGGGAACCACGAGCCAAGTGCTCCATGTCCAGGCATCACTGGAATGTTTGGAATGTAAACCTGGGGGACAAGTGAAACGTCAAACCAGCGGGGCCTGGCTCAGGACTCATCCCTGATCCCTTTTTAGACCTGCCCTGGAGCCAGTGCCCGTAAATTCTCCTGCCATGTGAGGGGTCAGTGACCTCAGGGAGGGCTGTTCTGCAGCTCTGCTCCAAACCCCTCTCAGCAAAGGGCTCGAGGCAGGGGCAGCTCATCTTCTGGGGGCTCTGCTTAAACTCAGGATGGCCAAGAGCTGGGGGACACCCCGGTCTGTCCTCAGCAGCTGCCACCAGATCCCTGTGGGTGGCCAGTGGGTGCTACAGGAGTGTCCCCTGCCCAGCCAGCTCCACCTGCCCCTCCTGCCCTGCAGCTGAGCCCTCCCTTTTGCCCTGTGCTGCTGTGCCAGGCAGGAGCCTGTGGCCCTGGCAAGCCCTAATCCATAACTCCTGGCCCAGGAGTGCTGCCAGCAGGCAGCCTGTGTGGGTCATGGCTCTGTCCCTCCCTGCCTGTCCCGGCCACTGTCCCAGGTGCTCCTATCTCACCTCTTCTAGGGCACCCTCCTCACACCTGGCAGGGTTCTGCAGCACTGGATACCATACCTTTGAAGCTTTTTTCCATTATGTATGTGTTCTGACGTCTATCCATCCCACAAGCACCTGCATAAAAATGATATATAACGGAAAACAAATAAATATTGATGTAAATTGGATTGCTTTGACTACTGAGCAGCATAATATTCTTCCCCCTGAACTGTACATCGAGGCCCTCATTTAGGCAGGCTCTTAAGCACATCCTCAGCTGTGAGCACACCCTCAGCTTCAGTGGGGAGCCTGTGCATGCCCAGAATTCTGCGTGTGCTTAAGAGCTTCCCTGAAGGGAGGGCTTTCCTGCAGCAGGGTTACCAAGAACAGCCATCCATCAGGAGATCAGGAAAAAAATCATCTGCTGGTACATTCAGGACTGAAACACTGGCTTGGATTAGGGAAAGAAGCCTGAAATGTGTCCTTTCCCACCTGAGTCTGCAGGTTGTGTTGCATCACCCTGTGATGTATTTTAGGCTTTGTTTTGTTCGTGGGCAGTGGGTTATTTGACTCACAGCCTTAGGTCTGAGGTGTTCACAATCTGCTCGAATTACCCACTGTAACTTTGCTCATAAATTTGCACGGTTCAGTAATGGATGTGACAACAGTCCCTGAGTGTGCCCTGTGGTCTGACAGTGCAGAGCTGACAGCAACACCTGTGGCTCCACAGGAACTTCTGTTCCTCATGGAGACAGAAGGGGATGGGAACCTCTTCCATTTCCACTGCTGCAGACTGCCCTCGATATCAATCAAGAGGCAAACCTAATGCAAGCCTTTAAATCTCTTTAACTATAGAGTCTGGTATTTCTTATTGACTCGGAAAATCAATGCAGATTTGGTTACTGAGAAATGTCTTCGTGGCTTTTGGGATTCCCAGTCAAGTAACTCAGTTAGGCTGGGAAAAGAGCCCTGCAAACTCTGTGTCCCAGAGGCTTCCCAGCTGTTTGTCCTTGAGTGTCCTCTGGTCTCTGCAGAAAAGCTGTCACAGCCACGGGCAGTGCTGTACCAGTGCCTTTATCATCACACCTCTGGGGTTTCTTTTGCTAAATAAGGAAAATGACTGAATTAGACAATAAAGGTGTTAGTGGTGAATCAAAGACAAAGCAAGCCCTCTGCTCTGGCTCTCAGAGCTCATCCCTGAGCACAGGGTGAGTTGGTGGTGCAAGGCTGGCTCCCTGTGATGGAGCTCTTCCTTCTGGCCAAGAGTGACCCCCCAGTCCATGGGAGCACCTTCTGCTTTATTTTCCCCTCTGATCCCCAGCCAGCTCCTGATGCAGAGGGCAAGGCTGACAGGGAGCTGTGGGAAGCTCTGGCACACAGCAGGATGAGCTCAGTGCTGTTTTCCTGCCCTGTCCTCTGCCAGGGCAGAGTCCCAGGCGAGCAGGATGGAGCTAATTCATCCCTGGGCTGCCATCCAAGGGGCTGGGGCTCCCTTTCCCAGCAGTGGAGCTCCCCAAGGCCATCCCTGGTGATCACACATCCTCCTGCCAGGGCTGAGCAATCCCCAGGGCAGGAACACCCAGGCAGTGTTTGGGAACAGCTGGAGAGCTCCCAGCAGGTCCCAGCAGGAAGGGGCTGCAGGAGGGAAGCAAAGGCTCTCCAGGCTGACCCCTGGGGAGGACATTGCTCTTGGGAGCCCCACCTGACCCTTCCCAACCTATTCCCTGCAATTCTGCCTTTAGTTTTCTCTTTTATCTGTTACAGTACTGTGGGTTTATGACCCATTTCTGTGTATTCACTGCGCTCCTCAGGAGGTGAAGTGAACGATGGACACGTTATTTTTTCACCTGCAGAAGTCATTAATGTGGAAAAGTCCTAACCAGGCCAGGAATGTGGCATTTTATGGAAGTCCAGGTTTAACTCTGAAGCTGAATTATCTGCTGGGTGAAATCAGAGTCTTGGCTGGAAATACTTTTCCACACCTCCTGGCTTTGAGAAAAATGCAAAGTCAGCTGTGAATCAAACTTAGTGGCTTTGGAATAAATTCAGCTTTGAGTCCCTCACGATGGGCTGCAAATCACCCTTTAGTCTCTGCATCAAGGAGTGCTGTTAAAAACCCATTCCACATAAAGCCATTTCTGCTGCAGCCAAGGAGCACAACAACCCTCCCTGAACTCAGGACCTGGCTCAGGAGTTTTGACTCCCTCGGGAGAGGAGCTGGAAGTTGGAATCTGCCACTGCTCAGTGCAGGCTGGACCAGAGCAAGAGAGATCTGTCAGGGAATTCCTGTTGTGCAGCAGACAAGCCCCTCCCTGTAACGAGGACTGGGCTGCCTTGGGAAGGCAGTGCCACACAGGGAGGTGACAAAGCCGCCTCTTCTTGGCACCAGAGTCCCCAAACTCTGATCTGTCCAGGCCATGTCCATGGGAATTACTTGTGCTCATCCCTAGACCCCAATTCCCCTGAGCAGACACGACCAGCTCTCTGACAAAGCCCCATATTTGAAGCAGCAGCAGCAGCAAAAAGAAAGGTTTTGTCCTCACATTTCCTGCTTGGAAAAAACATGAACCTGGCAGACAAAGTCCTGCAAAACAGGCAGAACACCTGCAGGCTGGTGAGACCCACTGGAATTAAGAGAACTCCTTATGATTGGGGGTTTTAGAAGATGAGTGTCAGAGCTAATTTTCACACAGATATTCTTACAGTTACCTTTCCCTCAACTACAACTAATATTTAGGACACCTGCAAATTCTAAGGAGCCTAGAGATGTCTCTGTGAGCCTGATGCTCCTCATCTGGTGGGCCCCATCCTTTGGGATCACTGCCACAGTTGAGGGGTCGTTGGCAGGGGGGTGACCAGAAGAGCTGAAGGTTTCCATGCATTCCAAATTTCTGGGCAATGTCTCTTCCATCTCCCTTTAAGTTCTCCCCCACCTCTCGCTCACAATTCTGCTCTACAGTTTCATGTAAAAATGACCTTGATCTGAGCAAGGATTCAACATCATGGGAGTCAGCACCAGCAGGCATTCATTCTGTTACTGAAAAGGAGGAAAAAAACCCCTCATTTTCATCAATTACAGTGAAAAAAAAAAGAAAGAAAAAGGTATCCTGGATGCAAAATGCCATGGGAAAAGCTGAGTGTTGTGCTGGAGACCACTTAGCTGAAAGCTGAAGTATTTAGCACTTCTTACTGCAGAGGCATTTGGCATTGCTCCTGCTAGTAAAATAAAATGCACGAATGCAGGACAGATATGGCACACAGGGAGCTCAGGACACAGCCAGATAAACACAAATAAAGCAAATAAGTGTGCAAAAAAAAAAAAAAAAAAGGCAGTAAAATGGAAAAAGGAAAATTAACTTGATTTGAGGGAGCATTTGGAAACCCTGACAACCCCCCCTGCCCCCCACGTCATGTACAGGTAAGCACAACAGCAGCTCTGCAGGTTATTATACAGCAAAAACATTGATGGTTTTGATGATGAGGAGGTTTTGCACTGAAGTTTGACAGGTTTGTGATTTTCCTGATGCAGGGAAGGATCTCTGGAGCGAGGCCTGGTGTGTGCCAGGAGCAGTGACAGCACGGGCTGCCCTGGGTTCATCCCTGTGCCACGTGAGCTGAGAGACAGCTGACCTTAAAAATCCCATAATACCCCTTAATGCTGCACTTTCCCACCCTACAGCATATTTTCAGGAAGATATCAGTAATCCCAGGAAAGGAAAGGGCAAACTCCAAGTGCTCAGATAGGAACACAAATAGCATCCAAAGCACTAAATCTGGGCAAGATTTTGAGCTAAGAGCTGCTAAAAAACCCTGTTAAAAACTTAAGCCAGGGAGAATAAACCCAGGAAAGGCAATTAAACTTCACTCTTGGCTTGGCTGGTGGTTGAGAGTTGCCTGAGAAGCGGGCAGGGTGTGATTTACTGGGAGATAACGGCGGATCACACGCCCCGGCTCCCACGGAGGCTCCACACTTCCATCAACATGCCAGCATTTAGTGCTGAGCTTTATTAAGCATGAAAGAAAAGGGGAAAAAAAAAAAAATCCCAATTTTGAATTTTTAATATCCTCAGTCAGTCCTTAAAAAAAACATTTACGGAGTAGATGATGATAGTGATTCAACCCAGCAACTCTGGAAGGGAGGCTGGAATGAATATTGACTCTGCTCTCCTAGTCTGTGGTTTTGTGGTAAAGGAAACAATTCTCAATTCTCCATCTTTCACTGCTGGCGATTCTGATGGTGAAATAAAGACAACACCGATATTCATCATTATTGTTAATGCCTCCATGAAAGGCTGACTTGGGTCTGGAATCGCTCTAAAGTCTACTAAGGTGATGAAAGTGTTTAAAAATTACTGACCTAGTTCATTCAGATAGCTGTAGGGTCTCCAGTCTGCAGTTTCTCTGTCAAGGATTTTGTTACTGAGCTGTTCAAAAAGTATGATAATGGGTTAATGCTGGAAGAAAGAGACAGTTCCCACCCGAGCCTCCAGCCCAAGGACGTCAGGAATAGAAATGGGAGATGGCTGTTACCTTGGCCTCACATTTCAGCCCTTAATCTGTATGAGTTGGGCAGTTGTTCACTAGCATTAGGGAAAATCACAAAGGAAAGTCACTTCACCAAGCCATGAACACAAACATGCTGGAAAACACAGGATTTCCTTGAGTACCACGACTTGGACACCTGTGGCCGTGGAGTGACGTGCTGGCAGCTCCACAACAACTCATGGAGAGGGATGGATCAGACCCACCTACATCAGCATGCAAAGAGGGGCTGCTCGCAACTGAGGGGATCTGCTGAGACATCTGCGTGCTCGGTGACAAGAGATGGGATGGTGACAGAGTTCTCTCAATTCAAGGAAAATAACTCTGGCAGCAGCGAAGCACGAAGCCCTGTGCAGATCTGCCAGTGAGGAGAGGAGCCCAGGGCTGCCAGCCAGATGCTGCTGCTGGAAAAACACCTCTCCCAGCGCTGGCAGCTGGGACCCCCTGTGTGCCTGAGGCAGGGAACGGACACATCCCACGCTGCCGAGGTGGGAATGCCTGGAAAAGGCTGCTGGTGCATTGACCACCAGTGTGCTGTCAGCGTGCTCCGGGTTTCTCTGCCATCTGCCGAAGCCTCGCTCGAGCAAAGATGATGCTTGAACACAACACCAGGGCAAGCACAGGGGATCTGGGGCTCTGCAGGGAGCCCCCTGGAGCACCTCTGTGGTCAGTGAAAGGGGAGGGGTTGCTGTTTTGGGGGTACCAGGCTCCTCTAGCCTGGGGCACCACGGCAATAAGGGGTTCTACAAAGCCCCCGGGGATCGGGTGAGTCCCAGCAAGGAGGGTCTGGGAATCACTGCAGTTGGTAAAGCTGCCGAGTTTTCCACCTTCACATTTCACCCTCGAAAGCCACAACTGCTGGAATGCAGCTGGTCCTGAGGAAGTGTCAGTTCAAGAGCAAATCCCAACCCTTTCATGGTTATGAAGCCACCACTGCTCTCCCATGTCTGCTTCCAGACTGGGGAGCCTCCTGCCTCTGTCCAGAGGGTTCAGCTCTGCTATTTTACTGTATTTACAAGAAAATGCTTAACAAAAAGGAGGTTAAAACTGATAGAAAGTATTCAAAATTATCACAACATTTAACTGTTCCTGATCTCTCATTAATTTTTGCTTAGCTTTCTCAGTGGGTTTTCAGACCTGGAACAAAGAAAAAGCTAAATGATGTATTGAAGGCTGTTGGGATATTAAATCCCAGCTGGCACCCAGCACCTACAGCCAGAGTCCAAAGGTGTTTCCACCCACCTTCCCAGCCCAGTCCAACAGCCCTCAGTGCCACAGCCACCCCCCTGAGGGTGCAGCCCCAAGTCCCTGTGCCTGCAGTGATCCCTGTCCCTGGGCACTGAGGGAACTCTGCAGGAAGTCCCCCAGCACTCCTGGAAATTCCTGACGTGCCACCTGAGGGAAGTGGGACACAGCCCTGTGCCCTCAGGACATTTGCGTGGTCACAAACCCCTTCCTGTTGTGCCACCAGCCCAGGAGCCCATTTCAAACCCATCCAAACCCGGCTCTGACTGAGGAGACTCCGCTGTGGAGCCACCAGTGCTGACCTTGCATGAGGCATCAATTCAGGGCAGTCTGTGCTCGGTGGGAAGTGCAGCCAGATGATCCCAACAGTCCCCTGAGGCCCTGCAGCCCATGAATCTGTCACCACACAGCTCCAGTGCCCGCTGTGTCCGGGGCCCCTCCTGCTCCTCCTCATTTTCTGTCCGTATTCCCATGAGGTAACTCGTGTCATCAGCTCAGCAGGCACCTCTGCACCAGCCACTCTCCTCAAGGACGTGCCCAGAGCAGGGAGACAGCTGATAAAGCTGCTTGTCTGCAGCATTTCCAGAGCAATCCCTGCCCCTGAGCAGTGGCTGTGGCTGCACATTCCCGCTCCTGGCACGGGCTGTGCGTTGGCATCTCCCAGCTGAGGGCACAGGAGCCATTTCTGTATCACTGAACAGCTCCTGGCGCTTCCCCCAACCTGGGAATGGAAACCCTGGCAGCAGGCAGGGGTGTGGAGCGATGGGGCACTCAGGAGAACAGCGGTGGCACAGGGATGAGGAGCAGATCAGCTCGAAACGTGGCCCGACACACCTCAGCACATCAGTTCTCAGAGCCCACGGCTTCGTCCTTCACTTCAGAACTCCCAGTCAGAACACAAACGCTGATTTCCAACCCAGCTGCACCACTTAGAGCACATTTATTAAAGTCTTGGGGGTTTCTATTAAAAGCTGTGGGTTTGCAGGATTTATAAATCAGCTCACAAACCTAAAATTTGGCATGAAGAGCTACGGGCTAGAATTGATTCTTTTTAATGAAATGATTTGGGGACATTTCTAAGTTTTTCTGAATGCAGCAATTAGGAAGAAATGTGATTATAGCTGTCTCTTTGTGCTACTATCATTTCTTAACACACTATAATTTGTTAACTTTTTTTTTTTTTTTTTTTAAGATAGAAAATACTTCAATTTTTAGTGCAAAGCAAAATTGCTTTTCTGAAGGAAGAAATCCTTCACAGCCAATTTCTCCATTAAAATTCCTAGCTGGTAATTTTAGCACTTTGGCTAAAACTACCTCCTATCTGGGCAACTTTTGCTTTAAGATCAACAAGGAGACACCAGCAGGAGCAAAGCAGAGTCGTTATCTGCCTGGCTGAGATAGCTGCAGAGATGACAGTGGCCACCTGACCACCACCAGCCATTTGTCAGCGCTCAGCTTTCTGAAGTGCGTGGTGATTAGGCAAAGGAGTGCTGGCAGGAGCTCCATCTTGCCTTTATCCTCCAGGAGAGCAATCAATAAGAGCTTTGCCATTCATTTCCCTGACTCCTGGCTTCAGATTTCCCTGGTCCAAGCCAGTGGCTGCTCAGCTTTCATGCCCATCCTGGATGCTCTGCAGCCATTCTGAATTTGCAGCCTTCCTCTTTCCTGGGCAAGTTTTAGTCACAGGTACTTTAATGATGCTTTCTGTGGCTGAATTCCCTTTTATGAGCTGGGTGACATCCAGTCAGACCATTTCCAGTGACCTCTGTTTTGCAGTTTCTAATTTTATGTGAAGCCTTCGGTAGAATTTAGAACTCCCTTTAATAGATGTGAAACTGCTGGCTTTAAAAATTCAGGACACCTAATAGCAATTGATTTTTATGATGTCTGTAGAAACCAGCAACACCTGGAAGGGGGTGAGGGTGGAATTATGAGCTTTGCAAAAGCTCAAGGTGAGAATCCTCCATTTGCCTGTGACCATTGCAGCAGCCCTGTGCTCTATGCAGAGGAATCTTCACAAGCTTTGCAGGGTTCAGTAAAAGGGAGATTTATCCCAATTTTAATGCACAGCTCAAAAACTCAAACACAGAGCTGGCACTGAAGCCCTGAGAGTGGTTCTGCCAAAGGCCCTCTGAGCAAAACAGGTCCTCAGCATCTGAAATGTGGTCTTCAGCTCAAGCAATGAGAGCTCTGATGTGATTTCACAGGTGTGGAGGTGGGTGTGTATCTCTGTTTATCTGCTTTGGAAAATTGGCTGCGCTGATTTGGTGGCACAATTTCACTCCAGTTCGTGTCTGACACTCCTGGGTAACTCACAGCATCGTTATTACTTGCTGCTGCACGTGTCATTAGAAAAAAGGCCAAACTTTTGTAGGACAAAAGATCAAGTTCTGGCTTCACTTGTTTGATAGTAAAATATCTCTTGACTTCAGTGGTTCCAGCATGTCAGCCAAGCTGACCTGGCAAACCCACTGACACGTGGAGAGCAGTTACCTGGGCAAGGTGTCCAGCACGGGGTTCCTGGAGCCTCTGCCTCCTCCTCAACCCCAGAGATGCAGATCCACTCTGCTGGACCTTGCACAGGGACACAGCTCAGCCCAACAAGCTCCTGCTGGCAGCTGGAACAGGCTTTAGGGACACAGGACTGGAAGGGCTTTGACCACAGAGTCCCTGGGTCCTGCTGCCTCTTACTGCAAACACCCAGGCACATAATCCCTTAGATAGCTGATCAAGCTCCATTTTAACAGTAATCACATTTCTTTGTCCCATTAGTCTTCCTGGGAAGCTATTCCAAAATCTTGCTGATCTGATGTTAGAAATCTAATTTCCAGCTTGGATGCATTCACGGCCAGTTCATCCTCATTTGTCCTCGTGCCAGCGCTGTCCTCCCACTTCAGCAGCTCCCCTCCCTCCTCGTGTTTACCTTGCTGTATTTAGAGATGGCAATCATGCTCCCCCTCAGCATTCATTCTGCCACATAAAAGAAGCCAAGCCTTTTTTTAGTCTCTTCTCATCCTCTCCCCCTTCTCCTCCCACTTGTTTTCCTCCTGCCTGTGTTCCAGTCCCTGCTCCACTGGCACAACCACCCGGCCCTGCGGGTTTTAGTTTTAATGCCTCCACTCGTATTTGTCTCTCAGCAGCTTCAGTGATTTACCTCCAGGACGTGTGCAGGGTCCTGAGCAGTGGCCAAATGTCTGCCTGGCAGAGGGAAATGGGCAGGTGAGATACCTTCCCCCTGGTCCTGGCAGGGATGTGGCGAGCTGGGCACTGCCACTGTCCTGTGCAGACAGATCCACCCACCTCCCAAACTGAGATTGTCAGTGCAGTGCTGGGCCCTTCAGCTCCTGCCCTCAGCCACCCTCAGCTACCTCCTTCCCCAGGGGAGGTACCCCTGAGAACAGCAGTGAACAGCCACAGCCAGGGATCCTGGGGCTGGGAGAGCAGAGCAGGAGGGAAAACGGGAATAATACGTGTAGAGTTGGGTGAGAAAAGAGAGTAGGAAAAGGGAGAGAGAAAAACAAAATAATAGAGTGGAGTGAAGAGCAAGGGAAGAGGAGAGAAAAGGCAAAATAAGCCACAGAAAGAGAGAAGAGGACAAGAGGGGCTGGGGGAGCACAGGAGAGAAAACCCTCCTCACACCGGAGCAGGGGCTGCACCTCCCATGTCCTGCCTTGGCCCAAGCTGTCTCTGAGGGCAGGGACAGAGGAATGGCTCCAGTCCCTCTCCCCAAGGCATGATCTCCTTGGAGAGATAACACATCCCGGGCTCTGGCTCAGCACTGCAGAGATTCCTCTGCCATCTCTTTTCATTTTGCATCTGTGCTGGTTCCTTTGTGACCCCAGCTGGCACCACAAAGAAACGAATCCTCCAAGTACAACTTGTGCACATTTCTCTGCGGAGAGTGGGAATGGCAGCAGGCAAACTGATTTGGAAATGAACTCGTTAAGGCAGCCAGTGGGGCTTTATGTGCTCCTTTGTCTCACTTGGCTGGAGAGCTGCAGACAGACAAAGCTTGGTTTTGGCCATCTCAGCTCTTCAGCGCTGCAAAGCATTCCCGTTAAGAACTGAGATGCTGGGAGAGCTAAAGGAAATATCAGGTTATATATTGAGATAAACACCCTGAAAATACCAGAGCCATTGGTTTTCCTTTCAGTGACTACCAGGACAAACTGCTGACTGACTCTGGACAGCCAGTGCTGCAGCAGGGGGAGCAGCTTCCAGGCTGATCCCAATGCATCGCTTGGGGCTTAAACCTTTCCAGCAGCTTCATATTTGAAGCAGCTCTGTGAGGAGATGGCTGGGAAGCCAGGAGAGGTGCTGGCTTTGACCTTTTCTGAATTCATTTAAATTTCTGCAACAGGATTAGTGGCCCAGGTGGACACTCATCCTAAATTTGACATTATATGAGAGTTTGCACTTTCAATTTGGGGAGCAAAAATGCATGGTGCAAGGGGACCATCTACATCAGAAAACATATTTACACATCTGTCTAAACATTTCTCTGAGAAATCTCTGGAGCCAGCCTTTTTATTATATTTTAATGAGATTTTCTTTTAATAACCAAGAAATGACTTCCAGGAGCACATGAAGAGATATTTTTGCCTGTCTTGTACAATCCTGTCCCTTTTTTTTTGCAGTAATCTTGTTCCTATGGCTTTCCAGTGAGTAGTTACATTTGGATTAAGGTGACACAGCCTGCAAGTCCCATTGTTTTTAAAGCTGACAACCCTGATGAAATCAACTGCATTTCCTTTTTCTCCCTATGCTTTGGCTTATCAGGGTTCCAAAGGAAGAGCTGTTTTACCATTTACCACCCCTAAATCTACTGCCAAGGTGGTGATTTGAGTCTCAGTGTTGTCTGTGAATGGTCTGAGGGAATCAACATGTGACAAGGAAGGTACTCCTGAGTGTTTGAGCAATACAGTGGGAACAGCTCCTCTGGAGAGCCAGGAGTGACAGCAGAGCTCCCACAGTGTCCCTGGGTGAGTCACAACAATGCTCAGAAGCACCCCAGGTGCCTTCTTGCAGCTCTCTGCTTGTCTGTGTCAGCAGGGAATTTGTGTGTCTGCTGGCCTGGGAAACAATGGACTAGCAAAGTGAGATTACTGACCTAATGCTCCTTTGATTTACTTGTGTTCCTTTCATGGATAATTATATTTATCTGGTTATTTATCTCTTCTGAGAGGCAAACATACCTTGGAGTTGCTAAGACACCCAGCCTTGCTGACCCAGACAGGCATGTGCTGAGACTCCAGTCCCCGCTCCCAGGGGGTGGGAAGGTGCTGGGAGGGGAAAGCTGACCTTTCCCTGGAGTTTTAAATCGAGCTGGCAGACAGCAGGACCCAACAGACAGCGCTTGGGTTGATTTCCTTGAACTGATAAGAACCCTGCTACGGTGGGGTGGGGTAATATCTACCTTACTGGAGCTGTTTCCATCCAGATTACTGGGGAAGAAGCGTGAGGTCACACCACATGAGAGAGTGTGGTAGCTGGGATTGGAAAAGCAGTGTACACTGCCGCTACCTTGAGACACATCTGGGGAGAGAACAAGTCAGCACAAAGCACTTTGGAAGCCATAACAATCCTTAAGAAACTGAAACCGTGGCACAGACAATCTAGTTCAGAAATCTCGGTGAGAGCTCTGGGCGCTGTAAAACATCTGCAGATACAATCTGTCCTGAGTTATGGGGTGAAGCTCTTGACTAGCAGCATTACACATAAGGGGAAAAAAAAATAGAAAAAATAGTTAATTAACACAGCATTATCTTTCTGAAGATGTTAAAAAGGCCATTCCTGACAGTCCAGCTGCTTTTGCAGGTTGAGGGAGGGAATGCAAGACTTGGGAAATGCATGGGCTGCAACACAGCTGCTTCCTTAGCTTAGAACTTGTAAGAGCTACTGAGCAGAACAGCCCCTGTAGTGATGAAACAAATTAAACCTTTTGTTACCAAACCAGCAGTAAAGTCGGAAATCAAGGTGCTACAACCATCCCAGGGAGTCCAAACCATTTTACATTTAGTAGGCAGGCTTATTAAGAAAGAAATCTGGAGCCCTGAAAGGCAAACCCGGGCAGTTACATTGTTATCTACAGAGACATTTTATCTATTTCCCCACTTTAACTGATAAACACATTTACCAAGAGAGGCATCATATTTATACTGGCAGTTCTAAGGAAAACATCAATCCCAATCTGGTTCCAGCTGCATAACAAATTGATAAATATTTCAAAGTACCATCAGAAGAACGGATGGAAAAATCAGACTGGAGCAGCAGCATTTAAACAACAGAGCCCTGTAAGAAGCAAATGAATGGGTTTGAATAAACCACAGGCTCAAACTGTAGGCAGAGAGGTTGGTTATAGGGAACACCTGCATGTGGAAAGGGTAAGGAAGTGCTGTTTGAACCCATCCCCATCTTTACAAAGGTTGGTGGCAATGGGGGAGGGAGGACACGGCCCCCCCTGGCACTGAGGGGGTTCCCAGCCACCATCACCCCTCTCCCCTTGCCCTCTGCCTCGCTCTGAACATGCACTTTGCTTTGCTGACATCTTGTGGAGATCTAGATTTAGCTTAATTTACTGCAGAACATCCTGTTTCAAGGAAGGGGCTTTATCTGCAGGCCTTTATCTCTTACGTAAGCGCTGGAGCTGAGGGGAAGCTGCTCCTGCATGTGCAGGTCTGACCAAGCACTTCTCTTCTGCTGAAACATGCACAGGGATTTTCCAGGTCAGCCCTGTTTTGTGGTAAGAGCAGAGCCTCTGAGTCTCACTTGTTTCCTGGGGTTGTTGCTCATGAAGTAGATCAGGATGTGATTCTAGGGCTGAAGTCTTTGCATCGAACTTCTTGCAGCCAGGCTGCCAGGGCTCTGCCGCCTCCCCAGCTCCAAGTCTGTGACATTTGTGACCAAATGAACACAGCACACCTATCTCCAGGGGTCTGCCAGTGAGAACTGGGGCTGGAACCCCGCACTGTGCCGGTGTGTGCCCACAAACACAGACACAGCTGCTCACACACAGCCCTGAGCCTGCTCGGGGGGGCTGGCACGAGCTCATCACCCTCCTCCCAGCCTGTGCTCCCAGCTAAGGATGGACACTTGGATCTGTGTCTGCCTGTCTGTGGGTGAGTGTTGATGGCTGAGTCACACCAGCTCTGCCTTCCCCTTCCCCTGTCACTCAGCTGAGGGCTGGGACCAGCTGACACCTTGCAAGTTCACCCCCAGCTTATCTGGCCATAGCTTGCTTTCTGCACCCAAAATGAGCTGGAATAAAACTCTCCCAGGCTGCCCTACTACTTAGCACCGTGCTGAATTAATGACCCTGAGCTCATACACATCACCACAGCCCTTTTATCCCCACCCTGCTCTCAGAATTACTCCTTCTACAGAGTTCCATTTGGTCGATACTTAAGTACCCACCCAGGCTGATTTACCTTGATAGCACAGTCCATTTTCTACACATTTATTCATGAAGCTCTTGTAACTGCTGGCTGGAAATATTCAATCACATTCAAATCTAATGCTGTCCCTGCTTAAAAAAAAAAAACACAACAAAAAACCCACAACCCACAAAAAACCCCAGCTCTTTCCAAAGGTGAGAATTTTACTCTGCTCTGAAAGGGAAGGCAAAGACTTAAATGCCTAAAAGAAAGGGCATTATTTAAATTAAACCAAAACAAAAATAGCCCCGAGGTAATGTTCATGTCACCATGGGGAGATCAGACCTGTGAAGGGACACCCGATGGACTGAGCTCCTGCCCCCAGCCCAGGCTGTGGGGTGACACAGGGAGCACCAGTCCTCATCCTGGAGCAGCTGCAGGACAGTGGTGTGGAAACAGGGCACGAAAAAGGGGACTAAGTGAGCCCTGCAGTCAATGCCAACCCAGACTTGTCAGCTGCTAAATGGAGCTCTGCTTTCATGTGGGTCCTCTCTGCCCACACAGTACCACTGAGGGGGCTGCAGGCTCCAGGCAGGAGGGTTCACTCTGCCACCTCCCACCACACATCAACTGCGGATCATTTCTGGAAGTGTCTTGTCTGGCCTTCAGGATCCACGGTGCTTTATTTTTATCAGGCTTTGCTCAGCTCTTGGCTCTCAGCGCAGGATTCGCCTCTACCAGAAAGTCAAGGTAAGGCCTCAGACATCACTTCAGCTCATACCCAAGTCTGGGTGAAGGTCCTGAGGGGAAATCTCTGCTGTTCTCCAGCACTGCCACACAGTTTTCCTTTCTGTCCCCATCTCCTTGAACTGAACAGCCTGCACTTTAAAACCTTTCCTGGATGCAATGCGCTGTTTTCATGCTGGGGAGCACCATTTTGATTTCAGGCCTATTTGGGAAAGTCTGCTCTCAGATCCAAGTGTTGTGGATAAGCTCTCCCAGCATGGGTGGTTTTCTTTCCCTCTGGCTGCTGGGCAGAGTGTGTGTTTTGCTGCCACATCCTTCATCCACAAATGCAAAAGAGTCCAAGGGCTGCCCAGGGGGTTCCCCTGCCTCATAATCTCTCTCACACATACGCGGGGATTATCGGCCTCGGGAGAGCAAAGACCAAAAACATCCTCCAGAAATAAATTAATGTGCTGGAAGAAACGGCTGCCTCCAGGAGCTCGGGATCTGTGTATGTGACTCTGTTGTGAAACAACACCACCATTACCCAAATGAGAGCAAACAGGCAAAATAATAACTGGTGATTCAGGAGAGCCATAACGTTACGACCCACAGAGAGCTGGAGACTGCAGCCATCCAGGTGGAATTCCTGCCAAAGCACATGAGTTTACACGGGATTATATTCATTGGACAAGTACATCTGCATGTTGTTCTGCCCTTAATCCACATACAAACCTCCAGGTGAAGGTTGGGATCCCTGTTTCCTCTGTGCAGTGCTGCTTCTGTCCTTCAGCATCCTCTGCAACACACACCTGCACTCAGACACACATGTGCTGTCTCTTGCCACCCAGATATTCCCTGTCTCTGATCTTGTCTCACTATCCACCTGCCCATTTCCTGCTGAGGAAGATGCACAGCAGCACCTTCTCCTGTCCCTGCTCTAGGGAGATGAAGCAGCACTGGCAAGGCCCAAGCTGGGATGGTAATGACTGATGGGTACAAAGCCTCTCAGTAAGAGAATGTACTGGAGGACGGTCAGAATTTGGCAGGGAGTTTTCAGAAGCCTTTGTTTAAAATTTGTAAACGCCCTTCTAAAACAAAAAAAACCACAACTTGAAACAGTGCTGATACCTGCAGGCAATTTATAATGAGATGAAGATGGAGCAGCGCGTTTCTAACTTCCTAACCTTCCTCTGCAAGCAGAGATGGCAGAGCTTTCCAAGGGGGAGAAGAAAGAAAATCATTCTTGTGACCTCCAGAAAGAGATGGTTGACCCCACTCCACTGCAGCATCCTAAATGATAAAATATCTGTTACTACAAGGACTGCACGAAGAGAGGAGAGAGAAAAGACCCAGAAAAGACCCAGTCTCTGCATCTCCATCACTGACTGAGATGAACAGGGAAGAACCATTCCCCAATTTCTTCCCAGGGAAGCCCAGGCAACACCACTGACCTGGTGCTGTTTGGGATGGTGAGGGGTTTTCCCAAGCTGGGCTGACACGGAGCAGCAGCACCACGAGGGCCAGAATTAAACTCAGTCACTGCCCAAGGACCACAGGAGATCCCAGGTCCAATGCAGCCCAAGGAGGGGATCCCTCAGATGTTTATGATGCATCCAGGAATTCACCCATCCCTAAAATGTTTTTTTTTTCTCCTCATGGAGTTAAGTATCACATGGCATCAGGAGCTCTGGGAGAGGTGGCTGCACCTGAGAGGAATGTGAAGAATGTTTTACATGGCAAATTAAAGCCCACAAAGGCCATAACCTACAAACACAGTCCTGGGCTACCAACATCTTCAAACATCGTGGTTTCCTCTCTGTGGCTGAGGAGGAAAAGTCATCTGTCTGTGTTACCTTTCCAGGATGGGAGAATCCCTTCCCAGCATTAGCCTTTTTCCAGACTTCTTGCAGTGTCTGAGACTGGGACACCATCAGGCCTACTGGGAAGTCTCCTTTCATAGCAAAATATGGAGGAAAAAAAAAGAGATTTTTGTTCTGAAAGGAGCTGCTCAGTAATTCCACTCAGGAACTCCCAACAACATTCCTCTCCTTACTTCAAAGTGTCCAGGCTGTGTCCCTTAAACATGCTGGGTTGCACATCCATTAACTAGAGAACCACAGAGATAAATGAGGTGGAGCAGGCTCTGTACACAGATGGATAGGGTGCCAGTGGGAGAGAAATGGATCACGGAGAAGTTCAGGACATTTTTCCATGCCAGTGGCTGTGATCTGCTTCCTCAGAACCCAGAGCCTGGCTGCTGTGGAGATGGGCCACAGCTGTCTTTTGCATGTTCGTGGTCTGGCTCCTCAAATGGTGTTGAAATGACAAATTTCAGGCCAAGCTGTGCTGGCAATTAGCCAAGGATTAGACGAGCCCTCTCTGTCAACACTTTCATTCATTTCTTACCCAAATGGGCAGCTTAAGCGAGAGCCAACAAAGCTAAAATTCAAACATAAGGAGCGATGGGAGGAAATCCAAGGATGACTTTTCCCTCAATCTTGGAGCTACCAGAAGAAGGAATGCTCTAGTGAGTGGTCTAAACATGAGTTTGGTCAATGGTGTTCAACAGGCAGCCCCTGATGTGGGAGTTGCCATCGCAGGAAAACGCCCCTGACACGAGGACTGAAGTCACAGTGCCAGGAGAGAAGATCTGGGATTAAGTTCCAGGTGTAGCCAGGCATTGCTATCGTTGGCTTCATGGGAGAGGCTCCTTCCAGGTGCATCCTGGGCAGGGAATTCCAGAAGGAAGCTTCCAGCCATGTTGCCCTGAGGCAGCACAGAAGCCGATGGGCCTCGTGCATTCACAGGAGGAAGCAGCAACAAAAAGGCACTGCAGGCCTGTCTCAGGCCTCTGCCTGTCTCAGGAGCTTGTACTCTCTTGGACTTACAGTTTCAGCCATTTAAAGGGAAGAGAAGAAGTCAGAAGGGCAGCAAACCCTGAGGAGAACCCCCACCAGAGACAGATCAGAGGAAACCAGAAGGAAGTAAATCTATCTCCTGCCTGGTATCCTCCCTGATATCGGCCAGAGAGGAATGAAGAAGAGTGACAGTGCTGAAAAGGAGATCAGATCCTCCAAAGTTTAGCCAATCTGTCAAGAAAAGCTGTCCTCCACAGCAGTGGCAGAAGACTGAGAGAAGGAGGAACGCTGTGATCCCAAAGAGCCATCCCCTTCCTCCCTGCTGCTTTCATCAGCTCCCGGGAAGAGAATTCACACCAGCTCTTCAGATGACAGGGACAGGTCTGTGCTCAGCAGAGAGTGACAACAAACAGGACACCTCAAATCACAAACTGCCACACAGCCACAACCAGCAGCCTGTGACTGACCCAGTCAATCCCCCTCCTCAAGCAAGAAAAGGCCTCTCAAGGTTTCACGAAGGGAAAACTCCCCTGCACTGCAATAGGAATGCAGGTGATTTAAAGCCCATGCAGCACATTTCTTGCCTGGGTATATCCTCTATTGTGCTAAGTAAACTTCCACATATCAAGCAGCTTAAACCAGTTTGCATTTGCTTTCCTGTCCCTGTTATGTGTTTACAGATCACGGGATTCAGGGGAAGAACAAAAGCTCGTTATTTTCGAGGCTCAGTAGCACATGTTACACATCACAGAAACTTGTATTTCCCCAGCACACAGGAACACGAGTCTATATTTGATTAACATAAAAAGACCCTTACCAGAAAGTGAGTAATCTGTATTAGTCATCCTCATGGCTGGAGTGTAAGATACACTTGGCATGTCATGGCCCTTCTCCTTCTGTTTCCGTCGATACCACACAAACAGTGCCAGCAAGACCATAATAATTAGAAGGAGAATAATAATTCCAATGATTGCTCCCACTGAGTGCCTCTCTGATCCAAGAGCAGGGCTAATTTTAGTATAGGGGTTTAATTCTTCCATCATAAGAGCCGCTGTTAAAAGTAATTCATAACACACTGTAAATCGAATCGTGCATTTCATTTTCGAAATACTGTTGTTTTGTTTTTTTTTTTTTTAAAGCAAGTACATCATTGGAGAGGGAGAGAGAGATAAAGAGAGAGGGGTTTTACAGACAGAATGCCACTGTACCTTGATCACAGCGGATTCCTTTGAAGCCTGGGCTGCAGTAGCAGGTGCCTGTGACGTGGTCACACGTAGCGTTGTTCATGCACTCACAAAGCTGTTTGCAACCGTAACCAAACGTTCCCGGTGAGCACTCTGGGAAGCCAAGGAAAAACACTGGAAAGAATTCCTGCTGTTTTCAGGAATGGGTGCAATGGAAAATTCAGCAGAAGAGTCTCCCTGGTTTCAGGGTCTCCAGGACAACACTCACGGTGATCACAATTATTTTAAAGCAGAAGATAAATGTATTTCATGCACAGTTTATTACTTATTAAGCTGTGACTTTTGGAAAAGTCTTACAAGTCTTCCCAAGGATGAAATCAATAATGGGTCCAAAGGATTTAAAAGTCTTGATATGCATTATAAGTGTTCAGAATCTGGCAGAGCACGAGCTCAGAAGCTGTGGACAACACCTTGAAAGAGCTCAGCGTTCACCACCACCCCACTGATTCTTTTTTCGTGGGGTAGTTGCAAAGAAAAGTTTTAATGAACCTTTATATGAACTCAGTAGAGTTTTACCACACAAATCCCACGTGCTTTCCTACTCATCCCTACTAGTGCCAGGAGGTGAACAGAACACTGGAGGTGGAATCACAGAACTGAGCATCTGAATGGTTTGATTTGCTCAGCTTCTCTACCAGGACTCCTCATACAGAAGGAATTGCCATCCTGTCTTTGTATTTCTATCAAAGACAAAATGATTGAATGTCCAGCTGAGAAATTTATTCATACAATTACCATGATGGGCTATTACAATAAATCTGTAGGCAGCTGACTTTACTTCTGGAGGCACTATTCAATAATAAATTGAAAGAAACAATGTCTGTCACATCCCACTTATTTCCACGGAGAAGCAGCATTACTGAAAGCACTCACACTTGCTGTGATGCTATAGAAAATATCTTGTTTAAGGTGTGACTCCTTGTGTGTCACTGCAAAGGTTTTGCATAGCATGAGACACCTCCCCAGTGCCAGTCTCTAAGTAGCTTCTAGTAGCCAAAATTTAATATTTAGTAAAGAACTGTAGCCAGCATCTGTGTAATGATTTGCAGTGTGTATTAAAGTTGTATCTCTTTCTTTAATCTGCTGGTCCTCAAATAAGGGGGGAAAAAAAATATTACAATTAGTGCTCATTCTGATAGTAACCTGTAGCCTACTTAAAATGAATAAAGCCTAAATTTTGGGACTGCACCACAGAAACGATGCCTGCAATTAGGCATTTCATCTGCAATGCAGTGTGACTGCCCATTCAGCAGGATGTGGAGAAGGAAGGAGCCTTAATGAAGAGATTCTTTTAGATTAAACAGTAGAAAAACAGATAAATAAATACATTTGTAGCTTGGATAGAAAAGGAAGCCTCAGGCTTTGTACAGAGGTCGAATTAAAAAGTAGCTTCTTGTATAAAATCTGCCAATGTGCAGTTCTACTGTGGGACTTTTTAGTTTCCTGTTTTGATGGTGGTTGCAGTAGGGCTGTGCCCAAATTCACAGTGAGTTGGCCAGAGTCACAGAGGTGCCATATCTAATCCCCCAGGAGCACACAACTTTAGTCCTGAGATAATCACTTTGCTGAATGCAAGTGTGGGCAGAAAGATGTTTATGAACTGAGTTACATGTACAAATAATTCCATACAGATCCATGCAGTGAGCTCCAGTTAAAGCCTTCCCTTGCAAATCCAGCAGGAATGTTACTGCATCACCTGACTGCCAAAAAAAAAAGGAAGGGAACCCTGTGGAATTAATGCCTGGGTAAGGTGAGATGGATTTTATGTTGCACTTAGAATATGAGTAAGCGTGTGAGAATTTTCTTGTGATTTGCTGTACTGGACAAACAAGTCATTATTCAGCTGCAGCACATCCAGTCTGCACTACCCTCATTCCCTGTTCTTTAAAGAAGTCATTTGGCACAGGCTGCTAAATATGCCAGCGGGACATGGACAACCATTCCAGTAAAACATGCCAGGTCCCTTGGAAGGTAATTGGAGTTCATTGTTAAACACTTGCTCACTGCTCAGACCAAACACAGATCCTTCCCAAAACGGCAAACAACTTTGTTTACTTGATCTGCTTTCCCTGTAAAGATGAATCTTTATTTGCTCCACATCTGTAGCATAACAGCTTAGGCAGGAAAGCCCCAGTATTCCCTGGAATGCAGAGAGCAGAAAGGATTTATTTCTTTTAAACCCTTCTGTCTTCCCTCGTGCTTAAGGAAACCTGATGCTGGTGCTCTCAACAGCATTAGCAAGGCACGATGCAGATTTTGGGCTGTTTTTCTAATAATTAGGTACAAGTTTTTTGGGAAGGCTCCATCCAGTCAGCACTGAGTGCACTGATTTGCCTTCTCTCACCTAACTTTAGCCTGGGAATGAAAAGGCCCAGCTGGCAGAGGATTCACTGGATTTCTTTACGCTCAGACTGCCCAGTTTTCCACAGGCACCTTCTCCTCCCTCTGGATTACGTGAGGTGCCTGGGGTCACTGGCTTGCTGACATCAACACTTCATTCAAGAGCCTGTTCATGCAGAGAATTCTGAAACACCCCCACCACCACCCCAGTCCTTCCTGGAGATACAGAAAGCTGAGGTCATGCTGGTACTTACTCTGCTCACACTGCTTGCCTGTGAATCCCGTCCTGCACGTGCACTGGCCAGTGATGTGGTCACAGTCGGCTCCGTTCTGACACTGGCACACGTTGGCACAGTTCTTGCCATAAAAAGCAGCTGGGCAACCTTTCAGGAATCAGAAGAAGGAAAGACTAAGAAAAGGAGCTGAAACCCAAACTCGAGATGCTTTATCAGCACAAAACACGTAGTCCTATAGATCTATGGATTTTCAGCCTCTGTATATTTAAAAACATTTATTTCATGGTCTTAATGCAGAAATACCATGACAGCCAATTTTCTTGAAGTAATGTTTCTCATCTCTTACAGAATTGCCTCTTAAGTGTTCCAGAGGAATGAAAACTTGACCCATCTATACAAACCACATTTTCAAGAAGAAGATGCTAAACAGAAACTTTCTGAAAGACCAGAGATCAATCAATTAATTGCAAGTGAAAGAGTCCTCTTAAAAGGCTCACCAGAATTGGATCTCCTCTTGTACAGTGCTGCTAATTTGGCACTGGGAAGAGAAATCTCACTTTCCTAAATGAGGCCACATGAACTGGGGCCTTAACAAGCAGGGACATCGACTGTGCAAATCCTGACAATGAATCAATAATCTGAATTATCTGCCCCTCCTTTACAGGCACAAAAAACCACGGGAAGCTTCAGGACTGTTTTCCTTGGGGTGATGTGAGGTTATCCCGAGTAAGGAGCAGGTGGATTTCGAGGGAAGACTGCAATACTTGGAAGAGACACGAGGTAGCAGCACACACTTTGACAGATTCCCTGTCCCTGAAAGGCTTACGCTGAGTGCAGAAGAGCCCGGTCCAGCCGTGGGTACATCGACATTCTCCATCGTAGGGGCTGCACAGGGCTCCGTTGTGGCAGTTGCAGGAGTGAAAGCAATCAGGGCCCCAAAACCCACTGGGACAAGCTATGAAAACAAAATACTGTGTTAGTGCTGAGGAGGAGCATCGACAAAGGGAGGGAGAACCGGTGAGACACCAGCGAAGGCAGAACCTCACACGGCAGAGCTGCAGCGACTCCTGGGCAGTGACTGGCTCTTCCCAGACTGTCACTGGCTCTTCCCAGACTGTCACTGGCTCTTCCAAGCCAGAAATTGCTCTGCTAACCCTGGTGCCAACCTGTGGCTTCTCCCATGCTGTCAGTCCCTGGCACAGGGATTTCTCCCAGCAGGACTAAGCGGGGATTCTGCCCCTCTGCTCTGCACAGGTGGGATCCCACCTGCAGAGCTGCCCCCAGCTCTGGGATCCCCAACGTCAGGAGGATGTGGAGCTGCTGGAGTGAGTCCAGAGGAGGCCACAGAGCTGCTCCCAGGGCTGGAGCCCCTCTGCTCTGGGGACAGGCTGGGAGAGCTGGGGAGTGTTCAGCCTGGAGAAGAGAAGGCTCCAGGGAGACCTGAGAGCCCCTTCCAGGGCCTAAAGGGGCTCCAGGAGAGCTGGAGAGGGACTGGGAACAAGGGATGCAGGGACAGGACACAGGGAATGGCTTCCCACTGCCAGAGGGCAGGGATAGATGGGATAGTGGGAAGGAATTCTTTACTCAGAGGGTGGGCAGGCCCTGGCACAGGGTGCCCAGAGAAGCTGTGGCTGCCCCTGGATCCCTGGAGGGTCCATGGCCAGGTTGGACGGGGCTTGGAGCAACCTGAGATAGCAGAAGGTGTCCCTGCCTGGACTGGATGAGCTTTCAGGTCCCTTCCAACCCAAACCTTCCTGGAATTCTATGATTCCATGATTTCCCAGGCAGGTCATGTGGAAAGATCAGCTCTGCACTGAGAACCACAGAACCAGCAGCCCCCTGTGTGCTCTGGGCACTCCCCCTGCCTTACTGGCATTATCTGCGAAGACAATTTGGACTTGGGGTCATAAGATATGGAGGTAATTTAATTTTCTTCTTGACATTCTGGAATTCTTGCATAATAAACCCAGCTATTCAGGTTTACTTTGCTATGCAATCAACCACTAAAATTACCACATTCAGCTGAAGCACCGAGTGCTGCTCCAATTACGTAAAAAATGTAAAGAAAACTTCTTCCAATATGAACTCCCATCCACAAATTCAGATTGCTTTTGTTGATGGGACCAATATTAAATTAAAATCTCCAGGTCTATTTTATATTTCAACAAGTACAATATTAATACATTTTAAAAAGTTATTTTAAGCCTCCCTCCAAAAAATGAGCGCAGTAAGTTACAGTTATTAGTGCCAGACTAAAAGATCCAAAATGATGATAGCCCTTCAATATAACAACTATATTTTTGCTTTAAAAAGCACTTTCCGTGGCTTGCCATTAAAGACCTGAATTAATCAGGCACAGTTCCCAGGAAACCTGAAAGTACAGAAACCATGCCTACTTCCACGGATGCCACTGGCTCCTGCTCGGACGATAAATGCGAGTTTCTGGCACATGACAGACACCCCTAAAGCCAGAAATGAGCAGCCAAAAAACCCTGCCATGACGTTAATCAAACGAAAGGTCACTGAACTCACACAATGTAAAGCTGACCAGGACTTGGCCTGAAGTGTCTGTGCTAGAAGAAACCCAGAAATAGAACCACAGAACGTGCTGAGTCGGAAGGGACCCATCGGGATCATCCTGGCCCTGCACGGGGCACCCCAAAAGCCCTCCAGGAGCCTCTCAGACAGGCTTGGTGCTGTGAGTGCCACCCTGGGGAGCCTGTCCCAGTTCTCCTGTGTCAGGCAGAGCTGCAGGGTCTGTCAGTGAATCCAGAACTGGCTCTGGAGTCGGAGCTAAAACTGCCTCCCGTGCAGCTCCGACTCCGGGTCATTCCAGGTTATCTGGTCTGATGGAAACAGCTCTGGAGGCAAGGCCAGGTGCCATGGGAGCCTGGAGTGGGCCAGGATCACCCTGGGAGAGCTACACCCTCTTTACAAGGGTGACAGCCACGCTCCCCCTTGGCTCATACCAGCTACAACCAGGCCCTTCTGCCTCCCGGGCTGGCAACGGTCGCTCTCCAAGCAAAACCATCTTTTGTCAAGGTTAACAGAAACCAGCACTCATTTCCCAATTACATGGCTAAATATAACGAGGAATCTGAGCAGCTTTCTTTTTTTCTCTCCCCCCCCCCCCCATTTTTGAGTGACAGCAATATTCTGCCCGTGGAAGACACACAATAAAAGCAAAATTACAGCCGTCTGTTTTTATCCGATTCCTGCTTTATCACTTGCAGTTTAATATATTTTCCTCTGGAATGCTGTCTAATATGCTAGTTGTATCCTGAATATGAAGTAACATTTCTGAATGATCGGATATTGCCTCCCTCTGTGATCCAGCTTCAATTAAGGGATGCTCTCAGGAAATGACACTTCGGGATCAGCAAATGCCAATCTTCTACCTGGGCAATTTTCAAGAAGAAATCTTCCATCCCTCCAAGCCCACAGTGACTTTTACAATTAAATTACATTTAATAGAAATATTTCAGCCGCCTAATTTCTCAGTTCTGGGGGGTTGGTACATGAAAACATTTACTGGTTAATACATTCTAAATGTAACAGCTGAAAGAAAACGATTTCAAAAAAATAAATACAAGGGAATGCAGCTAGAAATTAAAAGGGAGCACGGAGCTTTCTTTTCTGATAAGAGCTTGTGACCTCCCTTTCCTGGAATAAAAGCCAGTCACAGCTTCTGCAAACTCCAAATGCAGAAACTAATCCAATCCAGAGCTAACTTGGATTAATTAAGAGAAATAAGCCATAAAGAGAGCGAGGCAGTGCCTGTAAAACATCAGGGATTTCCCCAGAACACGTCTCTTAACTTTCAGAAAGTACTTAAGCAAACACAAAACCATTTTGGAGCAGGTTTGCTTACTCTGAGAGCAGTCCATGCCTATCCAGCCCGGGAAGCACTGGCAGGAGCCGTCGATGGGGTTGCAGGTCCCGTTCTCGGTGCACTGACACACCTCGGCACAGTCCTTCCCGTACTTCCCGCTGGGACACACTGGAAGCACAAGGCAGGGAAGAAGTCCCAGTTTAACATTTAGCAATTAGAGACAAAATTAATCATGACATTTTTTCTTTGATGAAGCCAAAGGGGCAAAAAATTGCTGGAAAGAAGGAAAAGGCAGAAAGTATATAGTCCTCTTTTTTTCTTTTTTTTTTCTCACAGTCCAATCATAAAAACAACAGGAAAAAGTAATCTCGAAATCCATTTTTTTTTTTCTGCTGGAAAATGAAGCCAATATAGTTAGGAGATTCCAATTACTGAAGGGCAGTATGGAAGGATGAGGAGAGGAGAGACAAAGAGAGGAAAGGGGTTATTGGCAGAGGGAAGTTGAGGAGACTTCAATGAGCAAGCAGCAAACAACACAAGTGAGGGGCTGGAAGGGATTGATCTGGACACTTGGAAAGGGGAAGCAATTAGGTTGCAAATGTGGTTCCCAAGGATTATACACAATGTTTGACTGAGAGCTGTTAAATAGATGTGCTGCATCCGAAAAAATCAGCACCCATCCCTGTGTGCCCACCTGGCTTAGTCCCGAAGTTGGAAGGAAAGAAACTCTAAATTTATTTTTCCAGAGTCATCCTCTAAGAGCCCAAGCACAGTGACAGAAAACTAATAGACATGTAGATCTTCAACCTCCCACCAAATTATTGGAAATCTTTAACGTTAAAGTTGATGGAAAGCTCTGCTCGGTAAAGAATGAAATGTTTCATTTCTGGGCTCTTATTGGCTGTGTTCCCTGACAAAAACAGATGTATTTTCAAAACAAGATAAAACATACAGTCCATCTTTGCAAAGAGTGTAACAAATGGAACTGGACTCGTATCCTGGTAAATAATAGCGATGTCAAAAAAGTGATTAAGGCACTTCCCTGAATTATGCAGCTGTTTTACCACTTCAGCCTCTCTCACTTTCTCAAAAGTAGTCTCTGCAGGTGACCTCAATCTATCCTGACTGTGAATCAGCCACAGATTGAAATCCTGAGCTGTGATTCACTGGTTTTTATATAATATGCCATCCTCTACTCTTACTACAGCAGAAAGCTAAGAATGTGCAGGGTATTGTTTCCTGCCTGTATTTCTATATACCGTGGACTTATCTGTAGGAGTGGATAAAGTTGGGTTTGGCTTTCAAATCATGTGCTAAACAGAACAGTTCCTAACTGAAAAGAGATAAAACTAAACCCAGCATACAGCCACAATGTAAAGAACAATACACAGACACAAAGAGGGGAGGGAAGCAAAGCCCTCAAATCACAGGCAAGAGCAAAAACTGCAATGATCTGTCAGCCCAGGCTCTTGTGCAGGCCACACCATCAGTCACTTCCAATGCTCCATATCCAGCAGCTCCATGCACTATTTATGGCATCTTTAAGATGGAGATAGATAACATCACCTCAATGATTTTTTATAGGTACAAAAAAAAAAAAAAAAAAAAAAAAAAAGTAGTTCTCTAAAGACTTGCTTAGAATAGGAGCTGATTTGTACTGCAACACAGAATACTAATGGATCAGGACGAGATCTGTGATCCAAACAGAGCTGCTGGCAAAGGCACCAGGTCACACTTGACAAAAGCACACAGGGAGAGCTGCTCCTTCCCTGGGAGCACCTCCTGTCCCGGGAAATGGGATCACACCCTCTGGAACATCAACGCAGACGGACGACCCAAGGCTTGTTCCCCTCAACTGAAACCCCCCCGGCTGGGGGTTGACACCTCAGCTCTCCTGAGGGGACGTGGGATCCAAACACTTTTTCAGTGTCTCAACCAGTTTTAAGCAGAGCTGCAAAGCAAGGCCTGGTGCTGCTCTCCTCGGGAGCAATCTGATTGTACCACACCGAGAGGGATGTTAATTAAGCCATAAAAGCTCTGAAGTGGGACTCCCAAAGTCCCTGTGGGATGTCAGGGTGTGTTCCAGCAGCGAGAACAGGTTATTATCAATCCATCTTGCTACATGGCTGTGAAAGATGTTCATAAAACAGCTGTTTAGTCATTTGTAGCTCGGAATCCTGTGCAGTTCTGGGGGTTTCACGGCTCCTCACCAGCATGTGCTGCTGGTGGGAGAGTTCTCCTGCTGCCAGAAAGGAGACGGCACGAGGAGATGAAAATTCCAAAGTGAAATCTTCGTTTCCCGTTTTTCTAATGGAAGACATTAATTAACATTTTTCTTTCCACAAAATAAAGTTACACGTTAACTCATTACGACAAACTGCAACACAAATTGATTTTAATTAGGACATGAATATTTTAAAATTAATTTACTGGATAGATCAACATTTCAAAGTAAAACCAGAAGTGCTGAACATCTGAGCAAAAATAAAATAGTTTTCTTAAGAGGATAATTAGACCTGCTTATGCTTTGAAATCTGGCTAACGTTTCACATAAAACGGACAAATTCACTGAAATGTGTTCATTTTAATAAATTAATTGGTATAATGTTTAGTTGACTATACAGCACAGGAAAAAAAAAACCCACATGGCTATGCTTACTCCATGTTTAATGATTTTGCATGAGTGATGCCTGCAATTCCTGACTTACTGAAAAGCAGGTCATTAAAAAGCGTCCCTCAGTTTTTGCAGGGACGGTGACTTCACAGAGGGCAGTCACCTCCTCTAAATACCTGTGTAGGAAACACCCCCAGCAGGATGCAACCACTGAGACTGCAGAACACTGACTGACCCTGTGGGTATTTTTAGGATAAAGCTGACAATGAAACACAGTTAAAAGTGGAGTAACTTCCAAAGGAACAGAGAGGGGATGGGCATGTGGGGGCAGCTCCTCTCCACCTGTGAAAATTAACTCCCTTTCTCTGCCTCACTGCAAACCTTTCTGCCTCCTGCACTCGTGTCCACGATTTCAGTTATTCCCAACCAGATCCCACACAGTGGAAATGAGGTGTAAATAGTAACTGGGTGTTTGGGCTTGTGCACCTGAGCTGGCCTTGCCCTGAACCAGAACCTACAGGTCCTGCAGCAGAAGATCACACAGAGGTGCCACCAACAAATCAACATGCAGGGGAGGAGAGGCTGAGCAGAAAGAAAAATGACCCCATTGGATGCTGATGTATTTACAGCAGGTGTCTCATTCCATAGTCAGCTCAATCCAGCACTGCAGACCTGGATTTATGAAACCAGGAGCACATCATATTTACAAAAGGGTGACTAAGTACCTATTTGCATTTCCCCTCTGGAGTAAAGAATTTCTCGGGATCCAAACTGCTGAAACAAGGGAAAAAGGCAGGAGCCTTGGGATGGGCCTTGCTGCAAAGTCACAGACACTTAGGAGAGGAGGTGGAATTTGGGGGCTCAGTACCTTGGTTGCAGAGAGGGCCAAAGAATCCCGGCAGGCAGTCGCAGTGTCCCGACACGTGGTGACAAGGACCATTGCTGTGCACACACTGGGGGCAGGGCTGGCCACAGTGGTGTCCGTAAAAGCCAGGGGGGCAAACTGGAAACAAAACAAAGTCAGCTGTCACGGGTTCTCCTGAGTTTTCTCATTGCTGAGAGCTTGAGAATTCTCTGTCTTAATCCCAAACCGTTATTTTTTAATTTACAGAAACACACTTTTGTGGACAGCTGAAAGGATGAAGCCTGTTGGATTGTTCCACGTCTAACAAAGTGCAAGCTCTGAGGAAAACTGCTCCTGTGTTCAAACATTCCCACCTCATGTAAGTCCCTGGCTGTTTAGTAATACAGTGGAGTTCTCAGCAGCCTCTCTCTCTCTCAGGACATCCATTTGAGTCTCTCTAACCTGCTTCAGATAAACTCCCTGACAAAACACGGGAGTTAAAGATGTTTGAGACCTCAGAGCCTACTGCAGATATGGATAATAACACATTCCAAAGCTTTTAAGATAGGAAGAGAAACACTCACACACACACGAAGAGACAACAGAAACTCAGAATACCATTTCCTTTGGAAACTGGGCTGAGAATTCCGAGAAGCTGCATTAGGAAACAGCATTTTATGTCTAAACAACTGTGCCAAAAGCTGATTTCCAAACCTATGAGGTGTGATACCTGTGCTCACCTGGGGCAGACAGTTTATATGTGTCGTGGCAGGAGCAGCAGCCATCAGTGACGAACAGAATCTGAGGATGGTAATTATGGTAACAGCATATAAAATCACCTGATTTGCATCAGTAATGGCACAGGATAGCTGAGGAAACTTGTCATGAACTGTGTGCTTAATTTGCCTGAAACCTGAGATGATTATTATAGAATTTGTACACAGGGTAAAGAGCCAAGATTGCAGCTCAGCATCTCTTCTAAACACAGATTGTTGCCTCTAAGCACGTGTAGGGTGAAAACCCATCCACTGTCCAAACATTCACTGCAACAGATAACACAAAGATATGTTAAATGGCAGTAAGTGACTGTAAAAATGGCTTTATGTGTTTTTATTTTTACTCCTGTGACTCTCTGTTCCACAGTTCCGGCTCAGTGGTTACTTTATCACGTCCCTTCCATTTTTCCACCAAATGAGAATTTTTCTCTTGGTCTGTGTGCTCACAGAGGGTGTCAGGCTCTTGCACCACTGCACATTTCCAGCTGGAACTTAGCTGACAGGTTTGTTGATATATATACCAGCCATAAAACACCCTGGATCATTGCTGGAGACATTTCTGCAGGCTTAAGAGCACTAAACCATCCCGGTGTCTCATGTAATCCTGATTACACCGACAGAACAAGCTGGCTGAGAATCATCTTCAGTATCATCTTCAGTGCTGCCCTGCACAGGCTAAATTCTGCTTCTAAATGAATTTCCAAGAGAAAAATGTGGATGGTTTTGAGAGCAAGCTTAGCAAGCTAAAGCTGCCCTCACCCACGGAGGTGTCCTGCTCACCAGGTAGGCTCGAGCCTGGATCCCACAGAAGAGATGGAAAGCAAGCTGAATTCCCACGCCATGTGCTCACAGAGGCATTTCAGCAACAGGAGGCAGCAGCAGAGGCATCCACAGGAAGAAAATTTCTCCCCACTGGATCCCCAGCAAACATCCTCAGGGAGCAGCCTGATTACCGGGCTTGCAAACTGGGAACAAGGTTTGCCTCTTGTAGCCTATGTGCCATCAGCTGATAAAACTAAGCTGGGTTTTTTTCCATCTCAGAAAGGTCAGAAACTATTAACTTCTGGAAGTTTTGCACTCTTAAGGTTTCAAATTCGTGAAACATTTTCTTCCCCAATTCCCTGAAGCTCCGAGAGCCACATTTCAGCCTTGGAGAGAGGTTTTACAGCTACACAGATATGCTGGAGCACCTGGAAATTGGGGCTTATAATGGAAATGCTTATAGGCCATTAACTACAGCAGTGCTAGAGGTCATTGTTATAATGGCTTTAAATAAAAACTGTCAGCTACAAATTATTTTTAGAGATGAGTGTGTTCCAGTGTCGAGTGTAACTGGTGAAATCAAAGGGGCTGTATGAACTGGGAATGCAGAATGTCTTACAGAAAGAAGAAGAAGAAGAAGAAGCTGCAGAAAAGAAAGACAAATCCACTTCTTGTTTACACAGGAAGGTGGTTGTGTGTAGTTTGGATCAGTGAATTAGGGTCCCTACGGGGCAAATGCAGCTTCCCAGATAAAGCAAATGAGAGGGGTTTTATCTGCTCGGCACATTTTAATATGCAGCAGCAGAGCATCAGACAGGAGCTATTTCAGGCTGCTGTGTTTCTTTTTCTGGCACGTCAGAAAACACTGCCTTGTTATTTTGACGCCAAGGCTCATCCGCTCGTCGTTACGTGACGGGTCGTGGCTGGCTCCGTTCCAAAGGTGTCCTGTGGGTCTCCCTGACTTCACTGCAGATCCCTGTCCTGCCAGCTTTGCTATGGAAAGGTGTTGCTCCTTCCAGGTCACCTGTGACGTGCAGGTGCAGCAGACCAGAAGAAGAAACACAAGGCATGACTCTGCAGTGGAGTCTTGACCCACCCCCTCCATCCAGAAGCATTTTTTAGGCAGTGCTGTGCCCTCAGGGAGCTAAAGCAGCTCAGAAACCGGGGGTTTGTCTGACTGGTGTCACAAAGGAGCATTTCCACCTGCTTTGCTCCTGCCATCTATAGAAAAATCTTACTTCTCTGGCACAAGGGTCCCCTGTATCCCGGGGCACAGTCGCAGGTGCCATCCTCTGGGGAGCAGGATCCCCCGTTCTCACAGCTGCAGGAGATGGAGCAGTTGGGGCCCCAGCGGCCCTGGGTGCAGATGTTGTCACAGTGGATGCCTAAGGACATAAAGACACACATTAGGATCCCCACAGCTTACTCTGCTCGCTGATCAAAGAAACTTTCGGCTGGACTGATGCCTCGCAGTCCCTCACAGAGCCAGCGAGGGAGCCTGGGAAGGAAACAGCTCTCCTTTTATCTGCTTAATAAAGTGAAAATTAAGAAAATGCCAGAGAGGTGAGTTCTGTAGGTGTTAGTGGGCTCCTGTTCAGTCCTCAGCACCATTAAAGAAACTCTGCATGTCATCTGAGAGATGAAGGTCAGGAATTGCTTTAAAGTCACAAAATAGCTCAAATAACTGGTCTGGAAATAGGCAGTTGATTGAAGCCTGATTACTTACCTGTTGTGAATTGGAAGACCTAAAAAAGAAAAATCAGGGCTCTGAAAAACATGTTGAAGTGTTTGGATTCTTGAACACAAGTAAATTCAGCTCTGTGCTGTGCTCTCACAGCACTGTGCTCGGGGGTTTTGTGCACGTACCCCACGTCCATCCAGAGCTCTCCAGTTCTGTGATAACAGAACTGAGTTCTGATCCAGCAAGTGGCCATATGTGAGCACAGGCTGATCATCTGCATGCTAAATGGAGACTGAGACCTGCAAATCCACCTCCAGCCATTCCCAGGGTGGTCGATTGATGTTTGTTACTACAAAAAGCAAAGCTTGGAAACACCGAAAAAAGCACGGGGCCAAAAAACTTAACAGGAGGCTTCCAGCGTGGTTCTGTGTTAACTGGTGGCTTTAAAAAAACAACCCTGTGCCGTGGTTTGTCCCAGATAAATGTGACCTGAGGATCTGGTCCCACACCCCGGGCTGGTGCTCCTTTGGGACAAGGCAGCACCAACACCTGCAATCAGCAGAGCTATCGGCAGGATCAAGGGCTCCGTGCACGGAAAACCACGGGCAGGATCATGGACTGAGAGGGTCATTAAGCAGTGCCAGCTGCAGGGAGTGGCACAGGCAGGGGAGAGACTGATAGCACCAGGAAAAACAGGAATCACAGAGTGGCCTGGAAAATCTTGCTGCCAAGGAGACCACCCCGGGCTCCTCACGGCTGACCTGGCCGGGCTTGCGGCAGCAACGCGTCCTTTATCGCCCACGCACATGGCCCTGCTGCAGAACGGGATAAAAGCAGCCAGACAAAGGGCCAGAGGTTGGATTAGGGCATCTCCAGGGAGAAACACAATCCCAAGTCATTTCCTGCACCCCCTGATAGCTTCATCTGGATGCCACAGGTGACGCGCTGCGATCTGCACAGCCACCCGGCCTGGAGGATTATTAAATCAGCTCCAAGTCATTATAAATGCACTTACAGCGCAGCCTCAAGTTGGTTTTATAAATCTCGGGAGTTAATACACTAAGAAATACTGCAGAGCCAAAATTTCCCTTTTCTGAAGATTAATCACACAATTATAATGTCCCTTCCTAGGAAATCTTAACCAAGTCTGGCAAAAGTACAGTTTGAAATGTGGTTTCTAGTAATACATGATCATTGCTTTATTTATAAAGAGGCAGGGTCTGTGCTGTAGAGCTTAATAAAAACCACATTAAAATACAGTAAAAACTTAATACAAGCTCAATTCCTTCCCATCTAAGTAAATAAATCTGAAAAGGGGGAGTGCAAAAAGAGACAAGGAACATTTGTATTAGTAAAATCAAGAAAAACAATTATTTTAAACAGTCTTCCCTGCTCAGTTTGAAATCAGATATATCCTTGGATTACTTAAACAACAAATGCTTTGTGTGTGCATTTATGTAATATATCTACAGTGCTCTGTAATTAAAAACTCAGACAATAAATTGTAAATAAATAAATGCATTTTGTATTTACAAATATACGTATATGATTATTTATAGCTTTGAGCGTCTCAGCGTGAGCTCCCAGCAATGAAATTCAGGCCCAAATGCAGAAAAATGTGTATTTTTCCTCCTGCTTGCAGCATTAAAATTACAATTCTGTCACTGTGAATGGGCTATTTATAAACTGGGACAATTAAACAGCATTATTTCTTGTCTCTTTTTGACAAAGTTTGGGGGGAAAAAATGACACTGGCTCCTTTCTCATGGAAGGAACCCGAATTAAAATGCCAGGGCTGTTCCTTGCAGCAGCAAAGTCCTTCCTTTAGTAATGAGTAATGAGGGATGTCTTCCCACTCCTAACGAAGGGAATGAGTCATTGTGGAGCTGATTGTTGTAGGGAAATGTAAAGAAGAAGGAGGAAACCTTCCAGAAGCCACTGACACTCATTACAGCACTTATTTACTTCCACCTTTCCAGAAGACAACAGGGATGGGGCCATAAGCAGATTTTATTACTTTATATTACTCCGAGTTGATTCTCATGGAAGATTTCCTTTTTGGAGGCTCCACACACACACACATTGAATTGCAAATGTAAATGAGAAGTTCAAACTGCACCTGGACACGCATGTCTTATGGACCTGTGCTAGAAAAAGCACCTTAATTTCACAATTCCCTACCCAAGGGGGAGTCCATCCCTCCCAGCCACTCTACAGTCGCAGTCAGTGAAGCAGGAACCTTCTGGAATGTAAAACTTTTAATATTTACTTTGGGCCCTGCTGATGAACATTTCTGATAAGCAATTAGTTTTCAATTTCCAGAACTATAAAAACTGCTGAAGTTGACACACCTCGGCATTATCTCACCTTACGACCACGGGTTCCTGATTTATGAACAAAATCCTGGGTTCACAAGCAGTGACATAGAAATTAGAAAGACAACTATCAGAAGAAGTCCTTGAAGCTGCAGGAAGCAGTTCTATACATAAACTCCATTGCCTGGATACCAGGGAATTATCCTCCAGCCCGAGGCTGTGGTTCACAATTGCAGACACTGGGATAAAATTACACTTCCAAGACCTCCTTAAACAATGTTCTGGGGGTGAATTGTAAATGAAATTCACATAACTTATATAAAATTGTAGCTATCCACTGGGTGTGGGCAAAGGATCTGCACTCTCTGGCAGTGAGGAAGAGTCGAGGGAAGAGCAGAGTCCACTGTGGCTTCCATGCAGTTCCTGACACAGCAGCCACAAACCCTCCCCATCCCAGGGGCCTCACCACCCTCCCAGCCAGGAATTCCTTCCCAATATCCCATCTAACCCTGCCCTCTGGCAGTGGGAAGCCATTCCCTGTGTCCTGTCCCTGCATCCCTTGTCCCCAGTCCCTCTCCAGCTCTTTTTGGAGCCCCTTTAGGCCCTGCAAGGGGCTCTCAGGTCTCCCAGAGTCTTCTCCGGGGCTCCAGCCCTGGGATCAACTCAGTGTCTGGCAAGAGCATTGGCTGATGGAAACCCATCAAGTGACAAATGTTTTATCCCAATAACATAAATCACACATTACAGCCCAGCTCTGCTGCAGAGTGGCCAGAGAGGGGGGTGTCTGGTGCCTCCATGTCACTGGTTTTCATGGAGCACCTTCAGTTTTTACCAGATGAAGTCGGTTCTTCGTATTAAAATTTACAAATCAGGCTGGGATGGATTAAGCTAAACATCCATACAACCATCAGGAAAAGGAGTCAGAAAAAGGGAAAAAAAACCCTCCAAGCATACAAGTGGGATGTGAGGCACCTATTGAAGATCTCCTTCATAGGCTGCTTCCATTAATAATCTTCAGTGGCTTCAAGAAAGTTTGTCAAACTAATGCAGATTTAGTGCTGCCTGTAACTACATCCCACCAAAGGACTCTGGAGGGTGAAATTCCTGAAAGGCAGACCTAAGCAAAGCTCCCTTTCTTCCCCTCTCCAGCTTCCTTCTGCAACTGCACCCGTGCCTGGGGATTCCGTCTCTGGCTCTTAATAAAGCTGCCATTGTTTCTGTGCTGTGTCTCTGGGTAGTTGGAAACTAATACTCCAAACACAATAGCAGAGCGAAAACGGACGGAATAAATGAGAACCAGTGGCCTATTTTTGACCACTGCTATCCCCCTGACAGTAGCCTCTGCAGCAGTGCCTGTGTGCTGCCCAGCATCTAATTATTTTTTCAGGGACGGAGGGATTTGATAAATTATAGGATGTAACTCCCTTCCCCCCCTCCATGTACTTTAATTTTACATCTAGCAGCGTATAACTGTAATTATTTCTCTGAATAAGATCTTCAGCCTTTTTTTTTCCTCTTTCCCCTCAATAGTCCCAATGTAAAGACAGATGCAACATCAATTAGGAATGACAGGAACGATTTCAGCAGACGTTTGAATCCAACACAAACATTGTGCTCTCCTCCACCTGTCTTTCAACATGACATGAAGTCATAATAATCTCTTATTTCTGGCATTTGAATAGCTTTGGAAAGAGCTGCTTTTTATGTAAAAATAGGCACTGGATTTTGCAGGCAATGCTGTGGAGGCCTGAGTTTGGTGAGTCACGCTTGGCTGGGATCTTTGGCCTTTTAACCTGATTCTCTTCTCTTTCCCCAGTCCTTATTGCTGCTACACTTAATGTTGTCCCTATAAATTCTATTTAAATCAGCTGTGTAGTTGAGATTAGATCCATGTGCTTTCCTATTTTGCTGCTTGACTCTATCTAAGGCAGTAGAAAATCCAGTAAGAACATAAAGACAGACCTGTCCAAGCCTGGATCAGCTGCTCAGAGGTGTTATGACAGTGCACCAACAAGAGTTCACAAAGAATTCTTGATGCTCTTCCATCGCTTTTTGCGTCTTTATATTTATTCCTACCTGAGGCAAACCCTGAAGTGTTTGACTGAGATCCAGTCAGAAGCACCACAGCTCAATTCCTGACAGCTCAGCATTTAAGAATGCTGAAGAATGAGAAAATCAGTGTAGGGAGGGCAGCAGATAGATGAAAACATAAAGGGATCTCTCATAAAATTAAATGGAAACATTAAGAATTGATGGCTGCTCATCCAGTCTGCAAATAAGCTATTTTTGTTTTTATATAGTGAAACTACTCAACAGAGATAACAGCAGCCACAATCACATTTTATCTGTGAACTTCTGTGGTGTTCTCCAATGCTTTTTTAACTGATTT